CAATGCAGGAAGGAGAGTATGATGCTGAGAAACCCAGAGGAAAGGTATGAGTCCTATTATACTATACAAGCTACTCGAAGCACGTAAAGGTTATTCATCCTAACCTCCATCCACTGTCGTCAGACTCCCCCAGTGGAGATGAGAGCCGCCACAGTCAGAGCTGAGATGACCGACGCAGAGGGTCTGGGGGTCAAATTAGAAGACAGAGAAACCGTCATCAAGGAGCTCAAGAAGTCCCTCAAAATTAAGGTGACAAAAACTAGATCTATCACTATAAAATGTTTCTACAGTCTGGAAAATGTTCCTTAAGCTTTTTTTCTGTACATTTTTCTCACTGCAAACACAAAAAGGGTTTTTTAAAATGATAAAGCAGCAAAAAGTAGAGCCAAATGAAAAATATTTTCATATGTAACAGATTGATAGGAAGTGTCATTTTAGCTGTCAGCCATTAACTATGCAGAGGACACAGCAAATACATGGATGAAGGTGCTCTGGTCAGATAAGACCAAAGTATTAGACCCAACATCCCTATGGCAAAACATGGTAGTGGCTGCATGTATAAATCCATGCCACAATCTTCAGATTCTGTGTTAAAAACGGTCGGATATCCAGGTTAATTTCCCACTTTTATGATTGCCTGAGGAATCAATACTTTTGCAAACCAGCATAACAGGAGCTGCAAATGTTCTTGTTCTTAGGGTGAGGAGCTAAGTGAAGCCAACGTCCGCCTCAGCCTTTTGGAGAAAAAGCTGGACACCTCCACCAAAGACGCAGATGAACGCGTGGAGAAGATTCAGACCAAACTGGATGAGAGCCTCGCTCTGCTGAAGAAGAAAGAAAAGTAGGAATCATTTGGATTTGGCCCCAAATGTTCCATTTCTGTTGCCTGTCTCATTTATCTCCTCGCTCGTCCGTCTGCAGGGAGTTTGAGGAGACCATGGATGCCTTGCAGGCAGATATTGACCAGCTGGAGGCAGAAAAGGCAGAGCTTAAACAGCGCATCCATAATCAGTCAAAGATGACGATCGAAGGGCTTAGAGCTCCTCCCGGTGCAGGAATCAGCTCTATTGTTCAGGGATCGGCAGGAGGCAAGCCTTTTATTTTTAGTCTGAAACTGGGAATAATGCATTTTTATTTGACATAAGATTTAGCTTATCATTTATGATTCAGAAATAAAAAAAATGTAACCACCTAATACTAATAGAGTGGTTGTTAAATTCAGGAAATATATTAAATATGTCAAGAATTGTTTCTTTGACCTCCAGGAGGTCTGCCTCCATCCCTGGCAGGACAAACACAGGTGGTGGACTCTCCTCTCCTCAGGCAGCAGGTTGAAGTCCAGAGACTGGGCATTAAATACCTGAAGAATGAAAACAACAGACTGAAGGTCAGCTCCCTTTAGGTGGAAATCTCAATTGTGAAACTTTGCAAACCGTTGATATAATGACCCACCCTGTCGATTTTACTCACAGGCGGAGAAGATAAAGGCTCAGCTGGCATCCCTGCCTCCACTCTGCCCTCCAAAACTCCCACAGGTGTCCAAAGAAAGCTCCACACCTCCAGAGGGACTGAACACAGGGATCTACCGTAGGACCGACCAGCTGCTCGCCACACTGCTAAAGCTGAGTGCTGAAATGAAGGTGGTGGACATCACAGGAAAAACAGCAGGTCTGATTCCCCTCTGATCCTCCTTATAGGACTACAAATCACCATTATTTTGCAAATTGAAAAATCTGTTGCTTAACTTTCTAATTTAATAATCGGAGAGCAAATGGTTCCATCAAAGTTTGCATACAAAATTTAAACCAACTAAAATATTTCCACTTGAGAATTTCTGGATATAGCGTATTGACAGAATAAACCATAATATGTTTTACAATTGTTATATAATTACTGCTCTAGGTATGTTTTAGAGTCTATATAAAATTAAAAAACACACAAGTTGATTAAAGGAAAAGGGGCCTAAATTTGACATATTTTGGATTTTTATTAGTCAAAAGAAGTAAAATAGGATTTTCTGCTACATGAATGCACTGATGCTGGTTATAATGTAGCAAAACTGGATGTAAAAATTAAAGGATATGTAAACATCCTGTGATGATTTTTTGCTTCTTGACTATTAAACCGTATTAAATCTTTCCCGTCTTGCAGTCAGTGCCAGCTCCCAACTGCTGGAACAGACGGCTCGTCTAAAGAACCTCAAAGACGCCCTGGACAAACTGCAAGTAAGTCTTCTCCTTCAGACTGTTATCTTCATGTCTTATTTTAATAATATACAAAACTTTCCCACTGACCAAAAATGTTGTTTCAGGGTGAGGTTGCTGAACATGTGGTTTCAACCCAGCCTGGAGCAAGAGCTTCCTCCGACTTCGCCACGTTCCCGTTGTCGTCCTTCGTTAAGGTACAAGCTCCCAGTAAATGCGATGTGAAACATTTCTTTCCCTTCGCTCTTGATTGGGTTATAAGTCTTTTCTCTTTCCCCCTCAGGCTAAGGAGGAGAAACAAGGTGGGACAGTGTTTGTGGGTCGTGTTGCCCTCCCTTGCACCCGAGGTCAGGAACAAGTCCACCGCCTCGTCCTGTCCCAGCAGCAGCTGCAGAAAGTCCACAGTCTCCTCATGGTCTAAGAGTTTCTAAAGACCCTCCCATTCCACCCAACACTTTAACTTTCTCGCCTCTCTTCACTACTACACTCAGGAACTGTGTCCTGTTAGCACAATGTGTCGGCACTATTACTCTTTCCTAATTTAACACCAGACTCCAGAATGTCACATTATGAAGACGTCAGGTATTCAAACCTTTCTTTTTTCACCTTGCTGGTTTTGGCAACTAAAGTAATTATTCCTTAGCTCTACAGAGTTTTAACCTTTGTACGACATTTGTAATGACTCTGAATATGAAATAAACATTTCTCATCAACAGTTTTATTGCCTGTTTTGCATAGCTTTAAATAACAGGGGGGAGGAATATAGTCATAAGCCTAATGAACGGGGTACAGGTAATTTTCTCTTCATACTTTTTTGGTTTGTATTTAACATTCATGTATGAATCACACGGATAAAAGTAATCTCATGTCCCTTCAGCCAAGTTGAAGAATCTTCTCCCTATAAATATTTAATTCTCTGTGAAAAACTGCAGATCATTCTTTAATGTCAAACGGACATGCAATGTTTGCTTTTAAAACCTAATGTTTTTAACGGACCTCGTGAATGATATTTATGCATAAAACAAAAATTAGACTAAATCAGGAAATAAAACAGCATAATTGTAAGGCTGTAAGATAAGAGACGGGACACTCCGAGTTCACTGAAGAAAACCTGCTGCTGACCAGGTTATCTCTGGGGAACGTTTTACTATGGGGACTGAAACGAGGTTGAGGAAACTTTGTGAAACAGAAAATTCAAGTTTCCCTGTTTTCACATTTAGAAAACTTAAGAGTTATCCATAAAGCTGCTTTGTTAAAAGGACCCCTGTGCAACCTAATGTCTATTGTTTAGCTGCAGGGACATCATCCAGGGAATTAAAGCTTTGATTATATTCCTCCAAAATGACACAAATGCACTAGAAAGTGGTTTAAAGACAAGGGCTCAATCTGAACTATGCAAATATGTAAGAACACTTGAAGGAATAACAGAATTTTAAATCAAATTTCCCCTTTGGGGTGTCATTAAGGTTTATGAGTCAATAGAGGAGGTAGCTCAGCTAAATGCAGAGCAGTGAAGATGACAGCCACAGCAAATTGTGCAAATACTTTACATACTGAAGCTTTGTTCTAGAGAATATTTCTGGTCCACTGCATCCAAATATGTTTGTAGGCTGCTGCTTATTTGCAAACAAAATACAGAACGCTGCTCTGTATTGACAACCTTCAACTATTGGCAACCACTGAAATAGTTTCAAAGCTTTCCTGTTTGAAAGGAGAGAAACTTTGACAATGTTGTAAGGGACCAGTTTTAGGTTAACAAATGTTATTTCCATCCCAGGTGATAAATGTGAATAATTTGTCTATTTTATGTAACATTTCTGACTTATTGCTCCTTTATGCCAAGTGCAGGTACATCAGCAGTCCCCATAAGTTTAACCAGTAACGAGGGACGTTTGCTACCAATAGTTAACTTAGGATAAGGACCTCCCAATGTCCCTGTCCAGCACTTAAGAGCTACATGGATTCCCACAATCCTTTGCATGACAGAACATAGAGGGACAATCGACGTTAAGGAATTTAACAAAATGACATTTCTTTAGGTGTGGTCTGAAATAGCTCCTAGCTTCTATCCCTTCCGCAACTTAAACAGTAAAAACACTATCCAGCGTATGAAAAGAACTACAGACTGCTGATCTGAATCCAGAAATTGCATGATGGGGACACAAATGGAAGATGCTTACATTAAGAACCTTCTGGTAATAGTCCCACCACTGTAAATCAACAGTGGATGTTCTTTTATAAAATCCAAAACATAACGATTTAACACATTTATGCATCACAGTACATCTGACAAAATATTTGTTCAACTCCAAGGTGGGTTATGTCTATATCATGTCCTGCAAAAAGATTGTGGGCAAGCATATAGCTCCCAGCGACACGAGGAACTCAAAGCAAAGTGAATTCATTTAGCTGCTGATGTACTTCCACTGTGGCTCACGTACAGGTTTCAGGGATGAGCTACGGATGTCCTAATCAAAGCACCAAGGTATGAAAGGGGATGGAGAAAATTAAAAAACTGACCTAGAAATCTCCAGACATAAGACTCCTTTAGCTTTCATTTTGTTAAATAATTACCAGCAGTATTTTAAATTATAATACATAATGCTTTGACACGTTTATTTTGTTAAAAACAGCACAGACTTGAAATTCAATTTAATAGTAAATTGCTCCAAAAAAAAAAGTTTTGAAAGAAACTAATTAAAACCCAATTTAACAAACTAAAAGCCCACAATCTCAATAAAAAAAATGACTCTTGTGGAAGGAGAGCAATGAATACAACAAATTGAAATACTTCTAAGATCACCTCCATTTCAATAATAATAATATCTATGAACTGGATAGTGAAGTGGTCTGAAATGGGTGTACGGGGCGTAGTGGGGTCTGCTGTATCGGTTCCTCATCACAAACTGATGGTGGAGGCGGTTGGGATGATCTTCGTAGGGCTCAAAGTACAGGGGAGGCATGTAGTTCCAACCTGTAGGATATCGAGACTGAATGTAAGCTCAGTATTCAAATCTTCACTAAACTAAAGAGATTTTACGCTACAGACCGTCATGTCCTTTGAAATTCACAAAATACATGTTAGTAATACTCAAATGTCAGCAACAACCAATCTAATTACAGAAAAATCTCACAACACATGTAATACAATTCAAGAAAAGGTCTTTAAATCCTGCAGTCGCTTTCACTGTCTTAATAGGCTAAAGATCTGATGATTGGCTGGGCCATTCTAGCCAAATCTTGTCTGAAATCTTAAAGCGGAACATCTGTGTTTTGATCATCCACACAATCCTGTTTTATATTCTGAACATACCATTTTGGGGTGATTTACGTTTGTTCCGATGTTTGCGGCGTGGCTGGCTGCGTTTTGGTTGGACGGTAGTTCTGGGGTTCTCTACAGCTTGATGGCGACGTTCTGGTGTCTTTGGTTCCTCAAAGCTCAAGAAGCCACAAGGCACAGAATCAGTGGAGAACTCATTTCCAGGAGCGATACTTCCTCCAGCTCCTGTTTGGCAGCCATTTTGTACAGACAAAGCTGTCAAAGATAAAAATCAGTATTTAGGATAAGGCAAGACCAAAGTTCCATTAAACAAATTGATTCAGCTAGAGTCTTTTAATAAAGTTTTTTTTTCCCCCCCTCACTTCATTTTATTCCAAAGAAAAGGCCATAAAGGACAAAGTTGATCTTAGGATTCCATCAGGTGTGAAGTTTTAATAACCCTGCATGTTTATTTTCATAGTAAACAGTTGGAGACTCCTCTTGAAATGCTGTCTGTGCCCTTCAGTATTTACAGCAGGAACTCAAAGCCAGAAACCTCCTGCATCAGAAACTGCTAGAATACCAGTACTCTAAAAATACAAATATTTTCTATAATTTGTCCAGAACTAAAAATTCTCAAGGAACTTTCACACCGAACACAAAACCATTGAAAATATTGCCAGGTTTATCTGCTTTTGCTCGCCTTGAAATTCCTGTGGCCAGCCTTTCGGATGGCAGGCGAAAGGCTCCTACATCATAGTGGACATGGATTTACAAACGAATCAGCGCAATAAGTGGGGAGAGAAGGCAGAGCAGAGAAGCCTGCTGGTACCAAACAAGGTGTTCTTCCTGACAAATTCCAAACTTTAAGACCGTGTCTAAACCCTGGCACTCTTATCTAGTGGCATTAATATATTGGCTTAAAGGTGCAGTAGGAGATCTGTTCTGAAGCATTTTTTTAACTATGTGGCTTAAAAGCTCCCCACAGCCGCTTAGCAAGCAGTGAAATAGAAGGTCTGGAAGTGAAACTAAAATAAATGATCACCGCTACAGTGACAAATCAATGACTAACCCCAACCAATCACAAAACACAGTCCGTTGTACACAACTGGTTCCTGACACGTCAATCATGGTCGTCTGCTTGTCCCTCCCCCTGTGCAGGTACCCTGACACATGAACCCCCCAATGCTTGTGCAGGACACCATGGCTGGAAGCTAGCCACTGTTATGCTACGTTCACACCTACAGCAGCAAGACCAGCAAAAATGCACATGCTGCTTAACTTTTGATGCTTGTACAAGTTTAGTTCTGATGCGCGGCTGAAGCATCTCTGCTGCTAGGTGGAAAAAATGGGTCGGATCCGTTGGGCAGATACCCTATCCTTTCTTTGCCTGTAATAATGGCAGCCATATTTGCTGTGATCAGTGAAAAAGTCCACCTGAAAGCATAGTCAGTCCATCCAGTTTTAATATTATTTCTGTCGGAGCCGCTAAGACCCCCGTACACCGGGGTCAATAGCATCCTATTCAACAGCAGCCTATGGGCTGGTCGCCTCTTTGCGGTTTGCCACGGCGGCTGCAAGGCGTTTTTCATGAACGTAACCCAAACTGCAGGCACCAGGATAATAAAAGCAAACATGTTTTGCCTGCAGATTTCAGTATTTTAAGTTAATTTAGGCGTTAAACCGTTTCAGTGAAGTGATCATAGCGCCCTGCCTCATCAGCGCTGCTTCAGCTGCTCAGATGCGCTGCCCACAGCATGCGCCTTCATGTGTTTGAAAAGGGGGGGCATGGTTGTGTATGTTCATAAATATAGCTTGCTGGAACTGTTTTTTCCAAGATCTCCAACTGCACCTTTAACATCAGGAACTTCTGTGACTCAAACTAGTATGTTTTAGAATGAACTAAAGATGTGCATGTTTTCGTGTGCCAATCCCCCCCTCACCACCAACGGTTAGCGTCACACCCCAGGCCTGAGCAATGTGCCGTAACAGAATAGCTGTGATCCTGCGATGAGCAATGGCGTTCCAGTGAACTCCGTCGTTTGTTCGGTGCTGTAAGGAGAAGCGGAACTGGAAGTGGAGGTCCAACACGTCCATGTCGTAGTTGTCGGCCACGGTCCAGCTGTAGAAGTTGGCTTCAATCACATCATAGCGCAGCTGTGGAGCTTTGTGCTCAATCTGTGGTCAGAGAGGCATAGGTCAGGGTAAATAAAGCCTTTTTCAGCAGAAACAAGGAAAACAATGCTTAACCCCAATATAATGATGGGAACTTAATGGTATAATAAAGCGTACTTTGTGATGTTATTACAAAGTATGATCACTGTATCTCAGCTGTCCCTTTCCAATAAATTCATTAGTTGTAAACCTGCAGGGTTTTACAGTTTAGTGTCCTTTCCCACTAACAGGAAGACAGCAAAGTGTATTTACAATTTACCTCAGGCACCAGAAAGCCACCTTTGATCTTCTCTCCTAAAGGCATGGTGAGGTTCCAAATAACCAGCGTTTCCTCTGGCAGGACACTCCTCAGCTCATCAAACAACCTCTGAAGGTTCTCCTTGTAATCATGGGTCCATTTAGAGTTGTATCTAAAAATCCCAACAAAGATAACGTAAACCATAACAGTAGCCTAATCAATTACATGATGGGAACTAGAATAAAAAAAAATTGAAAAATGAATGTTGCTTCTAATCTAACATTAAGGCCACAGCGCACCGAATCCAATTTTTCGTCCGATATGACAAAATGGTGTCACACAAGGTTGCTGTGTTTAGCGCTCAATAAAAGGCATACCAAGGACCAATCAGAGCTGAGTTTTGTCTGTGCACTTCGGCTTGAGGTCTGCGCGGCTTTGCGAACGTCTGACGCGTAGTCAGGATTTAGGGCGGATTATACTTCTGCAACCGCACACATCATATGGCGCTTACTTCTGGTCGCAAACCAGTTTTGCTGGTATGCTTCTGCAACATTGGTCTGGAGTTTCTAGAGCCCTAGGGGGAGCCTATTCGAAAACCCGTGAGCACTTTGGCGGATGGTCACGAGAACTTCTTCGGGGGCAACGGCGGGGGTCTTTATTTTCCAAAACAACATGTCTGAGGCATCGTACAAGTCAACCTTTTGTCATGGCTATCCATTGTTGCTATTACTCCGTGTTTTACTTTAAATGGCGCACCCCGGCACCGAATCGAGAAAGACGATCACACAGACAGTCGGAAAGGCATACCAAGGACCAATCAAAGCTGCTTTTTGTCTGCGCACTTCCGCTTGAGGTCTGCACGTGTGTGCGACCGTCCGATGCATAGTCAGGATTTTTTTGAGGTGCACGACGATGGTTGCAGACCCTCTGCGCGGGGGGCGTGGTCGTGCACAGAGACAGATTTGACGTTTGCAGAGGCTATGCTTCAGAAGCATAAATTAGCTTTTATTTGGCCTTAAAGCAGGGTAAAGTAGAACTTACCCACCTTGAAATATCCCAAACACAGGAATTTATGACGACCACGTCTGGTTTCAGGGCGTGACGGAAGTCCTCGATGATGCTCTGCATGTACCTGGAGAAGACGCGGGTCACGAAGTAGAAGCGGACCAGGTGGTGATCAGTCTTGAACTGACGGACCTCTCTGTACTCTGTCCCGTTATTCATCTGACCCAGACAACCTCCTTCCACCAGGCAGTCCTGCTCGAAACTCATCTCTCCCTGGCGTGGAAAAAAAAAAAAAAAAATCACAAGATTAAATACATAAAAGTCAAAATGTCTTAATATGCCCGCCATTATTCAAATTAACCATGTCCACATGCCTTGCTCCTCAGTTGTTTCAAGCTGAGATATCCATCCTTCTGCAGCAGTAAGACCAGGTCCTTGTATACAGAGCGCTGAACTAAAAGAAGAGCATAATAAACACCAAATGACAATAAAAATACATTTGTTTAAAATAAAGCATTTAGACAAAATAAAGGGATGAACTCACTGGAGTCCCCCAACACCACAACAAACTTGTTATGGAGGAGCAGGTGGGCCTGCTGGTGGCTAACTGTCTCTTTCTGTGAATTTTAAAACAAAAGCAATTAAACAATGATTGAAAAAAAATTAAAAGCATCTATGAGAGCGAAAATAAACAAACCATGTTTTACTAAAGATGGGAGAAAGGTCGTTTCCGATTCTGGGACCTTTTTTTCTTTTTGCTAAAATTAGCCGTTTGGTCAAAATAAAATTCAACACAACCTGAATGTTCTTCTTCCCGCCCAGACCGTCGGAAACGTTCAAAATTATCATACAAAAAAAAAAGTCACCGCTGCCAATTGAATCTTTTAGGAGTTTTCATGAGAGGCTGAATTGCGCCATTGCACTCAGTTTAAACCACTCAGGTGACGCTAATTTAAAGAGGCGTTTGAGGACTGTCGGATATTTTCCCTGTCGTAACGACCCCCGGTTAAATTTATATCACTTTAGAAAAAACCTTTTCGGATACGCGTGGTGGTTTACTAATAAAAAAAATAAATAATCCGTATTAAATACTAATTTTAACATTTTGTAAAGATAACTCTGTGACATGTATTTAATATAAGTTATGTATTTATAACCGTTAGACAAAAATCCCTAGTTTTTCGTTGGTCCACAAATCCAGCTTAAAATGATTTTCGTTTTTTAACATTAGGACCTTGTTTTAGGCATTTAGAAAAATGTTAAAATCATGCACAAAAACATATATTAAAAAGAAGATTTAAAAAAATGTCGAGTGAACATACCTGCTGCTTTGACAGGTCCTGAATAATCTGGACAACTGTGGCTCCTCATCCTGTTTAACTGATTCGTTTGTCTGACTTTTAATAATTTTATTTTTTTTGTTTAAATAATTTAACCAGTTTTGTCTCTGTTAGTTCTGCTGGCCAATCATTAGCCTTTGTTATTGATGATGTGTGAGTTTGTTAAAACCTAATAATCTCTGTAATCATAGAAAATCATCTGGTTGGTAAGATTACAATTTATTTCAAAAATCTGTTGTCAAGTCTCATGTTTATTTAATAAAAAATATTAGGAAGGGTTATTTAAAGAGCTTGTCCTGAGTGATAACTTCTCAGGAAAGAATTGGGCAGAGAAAGCTTAAAGATGCAAACACAAAGCTTTCCTTTACACCTACAATTAAAAACTAAGTTGACTGGATACAGGTGCAAATACTGAGACCCCCAAATAGATCTGCCCTTCAGTTCGATCTGTCTTCCCATTTATCTGTGCACAATATTTTTCAGGTTAGACAGAGTGCAGGTTGTGGGGATCAAGCCGGGTACTTGCAACCTTTTAAGAGCATAAGCGCACTGCTCTATCCACTATAGGATAACACTTGTTGTAAGCTTTCAAATGAGACAAAGTTCAAGGGCTTTGAATACTTTTGTAAAGCACTGTACATTTGACAAGGCTTAAATATTTATTTTCCAAGCTAAATGTAACATGGATATCCTGTGAAAAAGGATAAATAGATCACCAATTATTCAAATGTACACTTTGAATTAATAATTTTTACCATTTCATGTTGTTTTTCTAGTTTATTGGTTTAAATCATTCCACATTTGCACGTTTTATTTTTATAAACAGTCTTTGTTTGCTCCTGACTTCAGTTCTTATCAGAGCTAAGGACATTTATAGTAGTAAAGAGCAGACATAAGTACCAGATTTAAAATCCAAATAACACATAAAAAAAATTAAAAGCAAAAACAAGAGCTAAATATTAAAACAGATAAATAGAGATTGAATAAAAAGAAAACAGATTTGTTTTTGTGTCCCAAATAATTTTTATTTCTGTGTTTTTCTATATTATTTAAAGGGTTTTCAGATATTTTCCATTAGTGGAACGCACTGTCTTCATCCTCATCGTCATAATCAAGTACTTGAATCTGATCTTTCTTGTTGTCCTGTTGCTCTTCCTCTCCTTCTCCTTTTTCATCTTCTTCTTCGTCATCCTCTTCCTCATTTCCTGCTGCTTTACTTTCACCTCTCTGCTGAAACTCCTGGTATATCCCATTAAGTGCTTTTGCCGCCTCCAGGGACACTTTCAGATTCCCTATCACCTCCTGATCTTCGTCCACACTGACAACTGCAGAAAGGCAAATTACACATTTTGATATATTGTATGTTGTAGTCTACCGAATTATTTTAAGAATGTAGAAAACTTCTTCTTAAATAGGAATTCTAAGGTTCCCTAATGTCAGTTTTGTATTTATAATTTTTTCTCTCACAATATGAGAGTGGAAATATCTCCTTAGTAATACGCAGAAATAAACTGTTAAATATGTTTAAAACATTTTATCACTTCCCCCTTTAAAACCCACAGCTACAACACATACTGTCAATTTGTTGTTCAATCACATCGTTTCCTGTGAGCAGCAGTTCCTGTAGATCTAGGAATGCGTGTCCGACATCCACACACTCCTCTTCATCGTCCATCGGCTCACTGACCACTGTGAACTTTAACCTAATGTGGCAGAAAAAAACAAAATAATAAGGCACTAACAATAAATTATACTAAAACATTAAACACATAACATGTCACATCGTAAAAAATACAGTTGTAGTTAGAGGTTTAACAGCAGCCTTAATTTGAGCTGGACGTTTTAAAAATGCTTTTGATTTATTCTTTTTGCATGATAGTAATGATAAAAGGTTAAAAAAAAAACATTGGTTATTTGTGAGCATGAGTTAGTTAGATATGTTTCAGATTTTTAAGAATCTTATTTCATCTACTCACAGTCAAAATTATCTACCATACTTATATTTGGCTAATAGATCCGTCCACAAGGGGAACTTTAACCTTAACCTCTTTGTGTATATCTGCCACATTTGTCCCCTCTTTCTAGCTGAGATAAAAGGTCATTTAAACTGGTTGGTTCGCTGACACCAGACATATCATTAAAAGCACAGTAACCTTTCGTATTGTGTTAGATAATTTTCTTGTTGCAGCATTCAGTTGCATCCGGATTTCTGAGGACTTCAACTAAGATGAAAGGAGACTGGTTCAGATTTTCACTATACCATGAACCGCCAATGATAAAGCATTTCACAATTTTTATTTTTATTTTTTTTAATGATCAGAGCTCTATCTTTTTTTTTTTACTTATTTATTTATTTTTTATCACAATGAAGCCAGGGAGTGCCTGCCCGGCCTCCTTCTATAATAACAACTTTCAAAGTTGACTGAAATGTACAGCTGCACACATGTAGAGTCATATTAGACGTCTCAATACAAGAATTAGAGCCAGAGAAGATAAAGATTAAATCACGTAACTAAAACTAAAAGATATATCAAGCTGATGCTGTCAAACAAGTTATCATCAATTTGCTGGCAGCTGATGCTCAGGGTCTCCTTCCTTTCCACTGGTACTGAAACAATCCACAGACTCTAAAGCCCCTACATGCAAATTCTTTAATTTCAGATCAATAGATGGATGGATGGATGGATTGAGGGACGGACGGACGGACAGACAGACAGACAGACAGACAGACAGACAGACAGACAGACAGACAGACAGACAGACAGACAGACAGACAGATAGATAGATAGATAGATAGATAGATATAAAGATACATAGATATTATAATTATAGCTATTAATGGTCTTATTAGATATCAATGTTTTTATAAGGGCCCTTATATCTCTATTTTTCTTTTCTACTTGTAAAAAACAGGTACACAGTCTTAGCGAAGGGTGAATATTTGGACATTGGATTTGTAGTTTTGACTGTTTTGAATCTAAATCATTTCAGCATTTTCAAGATCCTTGATTTAGTTCTTTGCGTAATCATACTAAAACAAAACTGAAGAAAAACTTAGTAAGACGGACAAGTTGATATAGCTAAGTGGATGAAAACCATTAATAATAACCTCTCCTTTGGATCACCCACCTGCCCTGGTTGGGGTCTGTGCCCTCCAGCATAGTGTAAAGATACTGTCTTAGTTGAGCTGAATGGGACCCGTCCACATAAATCACTGAGAGAGACGAAAAACATGCCATTAGGAACTCCCACGTACAGTTTACAAACAGAAAGCAAACACGCCAATCAAGTCACCTCGTGTAAAGTTGTAGTGAATCTCTTCCCCGTTCACAGGTTTACGAAGAGACATGGGAGTCTCTGTCGTCTCCATGGCAACGCCCAGGAGACGGTATTCCACATAAACGCGTTGCACAGAGCGATCTGACACCACTTGGGAGGATGGTTCAAACGTCAGGGACAGGATCTCAACTCTAAGCTTGTCTCCCTGAAAAACATCAACTATTATGTCTCCCACCACACTTTACAGAAGGGTTTATTTTATTTTTAATACTAGACTCATAAAACCAGAGGCATCTTGGCATCTTGAAAGAAGTCTTGATCAATGTACTTTTATGCCATATATGAATAACAGTGTTCATAAGTGGTACTTCAGTGAATGGGCCCCAAATGCAATGAAATAAACAAAAGATCATTTACTACTATAAATGAAAAGAAATAATTCAAAACCAGGCAGAGAGACAAACTAAATAAAGTGTGACCAATGTTGATATGTACATCGTAAGTACAGATGATTTAATGCAAAGGATGCTATATACCATCATCATCATCTACTTGGTACCAATTTAAGCTTATAGATCTAGGAGAATTTGAGCCACAATATTATTGTCTATGTCACACTTTGGTTTACAAAAACATTGGCAGACATTTGGGAATCATGTTTAAATATGCAGACAGACCCCTTTAAAATATCTCAATACACTCTTACCCTTGGAAGTAAGATATAAAGTAAGATATAAAGATTTCAGCATTAACTTCAGGGTTTCACTGTACTGTGTGCCACAATATCTGAAAGGACAGAGCAAGCTGTACTTCTTAAGTAAGTTAGGTCATTCAGTGTTTGCAGTAATAGGCTGCATTTCTTCTATAAGTCTGTTGTGGAGTGTGATCTCTTCTCCCATATTCTGCTACGTTTCGTAAAAATTCAAAAAATATCCACTGGACTTGGTTTTCAAGATTTGAAGACGTTTCGCCACCTCTCCAGGAAGCTTTCTCAATTCAAATGAGAAAGCTTCCTGGAGAGGTGGCGAAACGTCTTCAAATCTTGAAAACCAAGTCCAGTGGATATTTTTTGAATTTTTACGGAATGACTATGACCTGGATGACTGAGAACCTTCATCACCATATTCTGCTACGGTAACATCATCAGAGCAAATTACTTAAAGAAGCTAAACAAGCTAATAGGGAGGGCCAGCTCAGCTCTAGAAACTCCTCTAGAACCTCTGGAGAATAATTCTTCATGAAGATAAGAACATTATTGAAAACAGTAAGAATCCTCTTAAGAAGGATTGTTAAACAACAACAGTGTCTTCAGTCAGAGCCTTCCCCAGGTCAGGTGCAAGACAGACCACTACAAAAGATATTATCTGTCTAAACCTATAAGCACCTAAAAAAACTGGTTAAAGAAAGAAAAAAACATGAGTTACTGCAACTTTCATGATCTTGACTCTGATGGCTTGCTTAATTGCTAATTTCATTGCCCTGTTTCTCATCACTGCTTATCTGATCCACCTGCTTCGATTTAAGCTGCTTGGTCTCAACCATTAGTGCTAGATTATTCTTGAGCCTTGAGTTTGAGAGTTTTCTAGTGTTACTTATAGTGTTCTGTTTACCTGATTCTGACCTGTTTCTGTGTTCGGACCTTTGAGCCTGCCTGCGCCTGTCTGATCTGTTTGCCTGACCTGTCTTTGGACATCTTATGTCTTGTCAGCTGACTGGCTGGAATCATCCTCATTCTGGGCAAGGTTTGAACTTTCAAACCAGGTTTGTGACTCATGAGTTCATAATCATCCCCTTTCAGATTATCATGGTCACTAACCTGTGTTTCTCTCCTGTAGAGGTTCCTGCCTTAGACGCCCTAGCTGCTGATACCGCAGCCCCTAATTTTTAATAAACGCTTTCTAAGTTATCACACTGTCTGTCTTGCATGAATACTGAGTCCCTTTGTTCTGTGTCATTTTCTTTCATTCCCAAATATCCAGTACCTTCCTCATTTTTCGTTTTGGTGGTATGATTATTATGTCACTTTGTGTAGAACTGGATGCTGTAGATTCAGGGGCTTCACTGTCCTCTGCAGGAGTGTTAACAAAAGAAAAGAGAGAGAATGACAATTATAGTTAAATTATAAAAGGTTGAGATTAAAAATGTTTTCTTTCCATATTCAAAAGGATGGGAGACATCTATGCAGTGATAGAAAGTAGCTGCAGGATTACCGCTCTCATCCGACTCTTCTTCCTTCTGTTCACTGAACAATGACACAGATGAAAGGTCCTGGAACAAAGGAAAAAAAATAAGCCTACACATTGTGACATTTGCTTTAAATGCTATTTAATTCTATGTTACACTAATTTTATATTTGCCTAAAAAGGACAGAACTGTGTGTACATGTCAGAAAATGTGTTAGCTGACCTGAATCCCTACATCGGTGGCAGAACTTCCCCTTAATGGAGCGGCAGTGGATCGTCTGGAGGATGACCCTACTGGAGCTCTTGAATGGAAAAAATCACTGTTTTATCCCAACACTTTTTAAAGGAAAAGTCCGGTCAGATTTAGAATTCAAACTTCTCAAAGTACTTTACACATAAAATTATTAAATACTGTTCAATAAAAGTGTTTTTAATTAAGAGTAATTTCATTTGAATGTGCTTTACTGGAGACATCCATGTTTGTCAAAGAACACTACTGCCCCCTACCGGTTTATGACATCACGGTGCGGTATTGGCTGTTGAGCAAGTCCTAATGCTGTATCTGGTGTTTGTCACAATGCGCCATTATCCAAGTCATCTTGAAAACATTCTTTTTCGAAATTTTGGCTACATATTACGTGTTTTTTCTCTGGCCAGAAGTTTGATGGCAGATTCTCCTTCTCCAATGACGAACCAGTGGTGGATCATGAATCGGAAAGGTGAAATAACTCATTTTCTTTTCACTTTTATGAGATGTATTACAACATCCAACTGGCCATTCACGTGGGCATTGTTAGTTTAACTATAGCTCTCGCGAATTCAAATGGTGAAGTCCTCTCGAAATCTTAAATAATTGTTATTGGTTGCAGGGGTAGTTGCTAGTAGTTCCTATTGATTTTGCTTGTAAAGTGGGGAGAATGGCGCTTGGCTTACCGCACCGTGACATCACTGCTGGAAGATGTCAGGAGTAGGGTATTACTATATTTGGTAAAAATGGCCGGTTCAGGACTCAGTGATCGCGATGAAAATTATTATTTTGATTTTTTTTACTGATTAACGCAAAATTTATTAAATCACAGTGCATGTATTAGTTTTTTGTATGGATAATGATCCACTGATTATTCCTTGCTGATCGGACTTTTCCTTTAAAACAGTAACATAGAAGATACAACAGGAATTCAGTAAGAGTATGTTAGGGTGGAATAGATTTTTAAGGGTTAAATGTGCCCCTTACTTGTAGGGTGGTGTTGTCACTCTTGGCTCAGGGGTTAAGGGAGATCTTCTCACTTCACGGGACCTCTTAGAGGAAGCTTTGCGGTCTGCTGGCAGTGGTTTTACAGCCATAATTTGGCCTAACTGTGAATCTGCAGAGCTCTTCTGTTTGACAGGTCGAGGCTGAGGCTTCTTGTAGAAAAACAATTTAAATCAAATTCAGTTGCAAATTCATGCATTATTAAAATGCATGTAAATTAAAATAACTATTTCCCTTAAAAAACAACTAAAAGAGCATATATTTTATTCACTTATGATCACTCCTTTTATCCGAAGAGACCAGAAACACTCAACATAGATAACAAACTGGTATCATTGGCTGAAAAACAACAAAACCAAGGAGCTGCTTCCCTAAAGTCCCTCCTGTAGAGGTTATATTTCAATAACTGTTGTACCAGATAATCAACAGATTGTACTATTATGCCTAAATCCGAGAAGAAAGATGTGCTCTCCTGCCCAGGAATCTAAATCAGGTGGATTTCTTACTCCAGCTTCTGTCTCTTTCTGCACAGCTACTGGTTTGTCGTGTTGGAGATCCCGAGTCTGTTAAGGAATAGAAACAGGTTCAGCTCTTCAGAGCAACATCTGGAGGTGTTTTGACCCAAGAGAGAGAAATGGCATCACCTTCGCTCTTGGCTTGGCCGTCGGCCTCTGTGATGCTTCCGCCTTTCTTTCCTCTTCCTTTTTATTGCTTTTAATCCTGTCCACCTCGCCCGTCTCCATCCCCCATCTCTCCTTAAAACCATCCACCGGTGGCTGAAATGGGTACTTCCATTTTAGCATGACTCTGACCATTCCCCGAGGTCCACCTGCAGGATCTCTGAGAACGTAATCACCTGACCCAACATAGGCAATATAAGTCCCAAACCAGCTCTTAGCTATAATCATCCTTGATCTTCGTTAAATTCCTTACAGCCTCACCTCTGATCTCTCTGCCTGTTGCTAGAGCTCTCAGTGGGATGGGCGTCTTGGCCAGGTAGGCTGGTGGTATCTGCTCATCGCTGTCATCAAATACATAAACCCACAGACTGCTAGACCTGGCAAAGGCAAACTCAATATTATCTAAAAGAAAAGATAAATTAATTCTTTTTTTTTTTTTTTTTTTAGATAGCAGAAGTTTAACCAGCACACCTGAGGTAGTGCAATATATCTGTTGTTACCGCCAGTGGGAAACTGCTGACGTCGTTGAACACCGGATCAACTGAGCACTGGACCGTTTGTGAGACATGAGGCGGCAGGTCATACAGACGGTACGTCAGGTAGGCATCTGGAAGGAGTCCCGGCCAGCGAGCGTTGAGGCCCACACAGCGCTCAAGCATCACCACCAGTTCATTGGGGATCCCGCCACCATAGTCATGTAACTCCTGCCATAAATGAAATGAAAGGACAAATATCATCAGAGGGCAGGGAAACATTATTCATCACTGACATTTATACAGTGCTGCAAAAAAATATAAAAACTCTCTCTTGTCTCAAAAATACAATGAAAAAAAAGGCAAAAGACAAAACATTGTAGGTATGGAAGATCACACATCAAAGATGCTCTCCAAACCTGTGGATACCCAAACTGGGTGTTTGTCAAATCAGCAAAGATCCAAAATACACACAGCAGAACATAGCGGTGAGAAAATTTTACCGCCAAAACCTCGCCATCCCATATGTTGCTGGAGTCCCTGAGAAATTCAGGAGGATTTTCTCCATTTCAAACACAAAATCCTAGTACATTTCAAACCAAAAAAGACACTTAAACAGAGACTAGTGCATCATACAGACAAACCCCAAGAACTTAGATGAACATAAAGGTTCAGCCCAGTATCAGGTATTGCAGGCTAAAAAAGAACCCAAAAACGACTCCCCATTCCTAAGGGGCGGACCCGTTCCTTTGGTTCAATTTGCATGTTGTCTAAGCCAAAACAAGTTTTTGGGATAATATATAAAACAGTTTGAACTCAACGCCAATTCTGACATTTTGAATTGAACAAAGCCGCTTGGATGGGATGCGAAATGTCTTCATACTTAAAAACCAAGTTTTTTTTAGTTTTTTTGGAATCACAGACATCTCTGAATCATTAAAAGACAAAGCCTTTTCCAAGTTCTTGGGACTTCTAGATTCACAGTGAGAGTAATTTCCCATTTATGATAAATACATAACAGTAGTAATCACTGTTAGGTGGCCTACCAAGTCACACCAAGAGATTTTCAACAACTCATCCAGTAGGTCACAAAAAAAAAAAACTAAAGCACTACAGGCCTGACCTGGCTTAAGCCTGGTTTATGCTCAGAAAGCAGGTCTTCTGTGTGTGTGTCACAGTTAATGCAGATATGCCCCGCCCCCCCGTTCTGCAGACACTCTGGTGCACCTCCCCAAAATTGTTGGTGATTGAAGACAGTGCTGCAGATAACGTCGCAGAAAGGAGAGAAAAGAGGCCTCCGATTGGTCAATTCTGATCTACCTAGATCCCCACTCTTTTACCCTCTAATGTTTCTCCATTATTGTACAAACTTTTCCCTTGCATCTTTCCATGTCCTCACTACCACGGCCATATCTAGACCCACAGCTAGTTAGTGAATGTCCCTCTTGTGGCATGGAATAACATAGCGCAGACAAGCTTCATAATTGGACATAAATCAAAAATATCTGCATCATACCTGAGACAAGCTCACTGCAACACACTGCTGTGGTAGTAAACACAGCGTTTTAGCTAGGAACAGTATTTCCTTAATAGGAAAGAGCTGCAAAAAGCCAGCTTATAAATGGTTCATAAGACAAAGCAACAAACTTTAGTCAAATTTAGGAGAGACCCAATCCAAGTCCAGATTTCAATTTAATTCAGATGATGCGCCAATCTAATCAAGCTTTTTATGCTTCAAAATCCTGCAAAATGACAGCATTAAATCAATTCTGTAAAGATAAGTGGCTTGCTGAAAGTTACCAGAAATGCTTGAAAGTAGTATCTGTATGTATGATTTGAGTGAATTAACTCTAAATCATACCACTGAAGGTTTGGCTGTGAGATGTGCTATGAAATAGATCCATATAAACAAACTGAATTATTTCCAGTAAAGGTAGCAGAGTTAGTTTATAGGATCTGGAGGCAAACATTTTTTTTTTAATCTCCCATGTAACCAGAACCTGTGGAATAATAGTCTAATTGGTAACCATAACTACTGTTTCATTCAATACCCAGAACCTGATAACAGTTGTCCTTTACAGCTCCTCTCTCTGTTTTACCTCTTGGCCGCTGTCTTGCCAGCCAAGTGGGATCTGAACCGGACCTCTTTGTGTCACTGTCCTCCTTTCAGCTCTAACCTCTTCCACAGTGACGATGGGTTCAGCAGGAGGGTAGAGGCGCACCCAGAAATCCACAACACTGATAACTCCCCCCTCATTTCCTGATAAAACAAACAAAAACATAATATAAAAATACGTAGGAAGAGGGAAGAAAACCGGATATGAGCCTCAGCTGCTCTATATCCTTACTCACCTGTGATACTAACACTGCCACAGATTCGTTCTCCTCTCTTCTCCATAGCACCCATGAGTGACACGCTGCCACTTCCATGGGTGACGAATTGGACTCCTCCAAGCGCCTGGTGGAGCTCAAGCCGCACTCTCGACCCTTGACCTCCCAACCGGCCCAGATCCCGGACTGTCAGTGCGTAGCGGGATGTGAAGCCGTAGTTTGGCCTGCTCCCTGACACCAGCGGGGTGGAGTGCATCTCAAAGTCCAACAGGCAGTAGGTGCAGAAGGTTACAAAATCCTCCTGGTGTCCTGCTCCCGGGTGGAGGCTGGTCATGATACGGAGCCCAGCCGGGGTGAAGGTGGCTCCCTATAATACCAGCTGTTAGTGAATGGGATGTCTTGATAAATGCTCAAAGGTTATTGGAGGATTTTTACCTTAAGGTGTATCTCCAGCAGTGACTCCCCAGATTTGAGCTGAGAAAAGCATAGATCATCCTCAATGGGCTGGACCATCTCCTGATCCCCTGCAGGCCAGGTGTACTGTATTGGGATGGTCCGTTTGTAATTCCTGGGGCTGTAGGCCAATTCTTTCAACTGGGCTTTAGATTTAAATTAAACAAATACAAATGAAAGTTAGAAAGTGCATACTAGATGTTTATGCCCTTTTTCTTTTTAAGACTTTGTGCAAGACATCTTCCAGCAGAGTGCAGAGTCATATAAAAACATGCTGTTTTACCCATATGAAACAGTAAAGCTGAAGGTAATCACAGGACATATCTGTTTATCTGCACTGTTACCATTTTACCTACCCTTGAAGGAATAATTCAATATTTTGATAAAAGAAAAAGTGCATTGTTTTGTATTCGCTTGTCACATTATATTTTGATTGAGATACTGAAATGAACTCTGGCTACATTTTACATCTTTTAAATTAACTCAGTGTTGAACATAAAAGTAGAAGGAAGTTGAAACATTTGCATCAGTTTTCATTTAAGGAAGATTCTTATATGTAAGACACAAGTTTAATAGCACTAAGAAATAATTCAAAGGGCAGAAAATGGGCCCAGTGCAACACCTTTATTATGTGAGATCCCATGTTAATGATTTTATTTTCTATTTCCTTTTCAGATTGAAATTTCTTACTAAACCAGTTAGCTTTTAAACTCTGCTGTTCCCATGTTCCCATTGTTTGGTTTGCAGTTTTTTTTATATATGTATGTATATATACATCTGTTGCAAAAACAGTGTGGAATGTGGTTGAACGAAATTGTTTGAATTCTTTATTATTTTTCTTGATTGATTGCTAATTTAACCAAAGAGAGCTGCAATCTGATTTACTCTTTGTTGGGGGAATGAAAAGAGTTCTTTGAATTTGAATTGAGATTTTCCTTTTTTTGCCCATATTTTCTTAAATACTTCAATGAAATTTGCTATTTAGACTCTTTGACAAATAAAACAAACCTTTTAGTCTGATTATTGAGACTAATCAGCTTAATATTTTTTAATTAATGGGACTGTAAAAATTAGATTTCGAATAAACTTTATCCAGATATATGCATGAACACCGATGACCCCCACAGAATGGCACCTGGAGGACTTGTCTTTCACCTTAATTTGCTTTTATATACTTTTAACAAACAGATGACCAAATGTTTAGTTGTCAGAACTGAATTCGTGGTGCATTTTAGGGGTGCATTCTTGTCCTACCTTGTAATGTGTTGATCTGCAGAGCTCTTTTTGATAGAAGTTTGTCTTTCTCTGCCACCCTCCTCCTGCTCTCCTCCCTCTCTCTTTCCACCTTCTGGTTAATCATGTTTAATTCTTCCTTGGGGAGGAGATGCATATCTGAATCGTTTTATTCCTCTGACATGTCTCATCTAAACCTTATGTATGTTAAACATTTAAAAGCTGTGTACCTGCAGATCTCTGGTGATCTTGTGCTCCAGCAGTAGCAGGTTTCTGGTTTTCTGCAGCTCAAGAACCATCTCTGCATGGGTTGCCTGGATTTTCATCAGCTCAGGGGAGGAATCGTCCATCCTACCATCAGGCACGAGGAAACCCAGGCTCTCCCTACTCTCCTGCTCCATTCTGAAGGCCTGCGGTTGGAAATGAAACTATGAGAATTTGAGAACAATGCTGTCATCTATTTAGAGAAAGTAATACGAACCTTGATCTGTAAAAGAGTTTCGCTGAGATCCTCAACGCTCATATCAAACCCCTAGATAAGAGAGAGTGTGTGACAGTTTGAGCCATGGGAGGAGGACAACTCGGACGGTTATGATTTGAAGGTTGTTTGTTCATTTCCGACCTTAGTGATGGAATCCAGGCTGTCCTGAAGAGCAGAGACCTTTTCTCTGTACTGGTCAACCTCTTGCTCCAGCTGCTCTTTCCTCTCTCTCATTAGAACAGATAGCTCTAAACGGATTAAATATTCAGTTTTCATTTTGTATTTTCAGCAATATGGTTTTATCCAACAGAGAATGAAACAAACTTGAGCAAACCTTCGTCCCGCTGCCTCTGATCCTCCAGCATGTCTTTCTCTTCTCTGAGCTTCTCGTTTTCCACCTCCAGCTTTTTTCTCTCCTCCCTCTCTTCTCGCAACATTCCCTCCAGTCTCTGGTGGAGATCTGGTGCAAGGATGTTCTCCACCAACCTGTCATGCTGCACCTCTCTGTGTGTTTCAGCTTGGAGATCAGGAGGTTTCTGGGTAGACAAAGTACTGACAAGCAAAAAAGTTACCTAAAAAAACACATTTTTACTTAGATACTAACAGAAACTAATTTGTACAGTTAGAGTCCCATGAGCAATGTGGAAAATCAAATCCTTATATCCATTGAAATAAATATAAAACAGAGTAGTGGGTATTCATACCCCTTGAATATGTTTCTCTTTTTCTTACATTAAAACCCAGAATTTCAAAGTATTTTTGGTGAAGCAGATTGAAAAACAAAGATCTAAAGATTTTTATAAGATCATGTGAAGCAATTGAAATATTGTGTCATGCCTTTGTATTCCTTCATGTTGTGCAATAACAGCAACAGCAACAACTTTAAATATCTGCATTCTAGAAGATTACATTTCTAAAAGTTCTTCTTAGCTACAAGTTATTTCAAATGTATTCATGCTGGAAAAAGAGCATCTTTAAGCTCAGATTACAAAGCCTTGATGCAGTTTTGTTTTGTCGGATTTAGTCAGAGACTTTGACCATGCCATTGCAGCAGATTAGCATTAGCAGTGTTGCTCTAAATCAAACCACTAAAGCTCTGGCCTGTGCTCAGCATTATTATAACTTTCATGCTAAACTCAAGTCTTTTGCAGTTTCTAACAGGTGTATTTTGTATTAGCCACATCAACCTGACAAGGATCTATCTCCCTGCAGAACCGCCCCGCCCCCCCACCCCCCGTAGCTAACCATAATGCTGCCACTACTATGTTTCACCAAGGAGATGATGTGATCAACTTGATATGTGTTGTTAGTTTTCTGACACCCATGACACTGTGGTCCCCTCTCCTCTCACATTAGGTCGTCTAAGTTTATATTTCCATTTGCTATCTTCCCTACATGTCTTGTCATGGTCTTGGTGCTGATGGCTGGCTTAATTGCTCATTTCATTCACCTCTTTGCCTGACATGACTTCGGACATCTGCTGGGTTCTAATGTGGACTAAACCTGGCACTGCCTCTTATTGTTGCCCTGTGGACTGTCCTGTCTTCCTTTTTCTGTGTGGACCTTATTTCCTGCCAGTTCTGCAGCCTTCCAGGCTTCAGCCTCTGGAACTCTCTGGCAGCGTCCGCTGCATCTTGTCAGCCAACCGGCTGGCATCATCTTCATTTTCTGGGCATGGACTAAACTGTAAAACCAGGCTAGTGACTCACTCATTCATAATTCATCCTTCGTCAGGTTATCGTGGTCACTAACCTGTATTTCTCTCCAGTAGAGGTTCCTGCCTCAGACGCCCTAGTTGCTGCTACCTCAGACCTGCAGCCCTTAATTTTAAATACATGTTTTTGAGATATCTCACTGTCTGTCTTGCCCTGAATACTGGGTGTCCTCTGTTCTGAGTCATGACACTTACACTCACCGGCCACTTTATTAGGTACCCCATGCTAGTAACGGGTTGGACCCCCTTTTGCCTTCAGAACTGCCTCAATTCTTTGTGGCATAGATTCAACAAGGTGCTGGAAGCATTCCTCAGGGAGTTTGGTCCATATTGACATGATGGCATCACACAGTTGCCGCAGATTTGTCGGCTGCACATCCATGATGCGAAACTCCCGTTCCACCACATCCCAAAGATGCTCTATTGGATTGAGATCTGGTGACTGTGGAGGCCATTTGAGTACAGTGAACTCATTGTCATGTTCAAGAAACCAGTCTGAGATGATTCCAGCTTTATGACATGGCGCATTATCCTGCTGAAAGTAGCCATCAGAAGTTGGGTACATTGAGGTCATAAAGGGATGGACATGGTCAGCAACAATACTCAGGTAGGCTGTGGCGTTGCAACGATGCTCAATTGGTACCAAGTGGCCCAAAGTGTGCCAAGAAAATATTCCCCACACCATGACACCACCACCACCAGCCTGAACCGTTGATACAAGGCAGGATGGATCCATGCTTTCATGTTGTAGACGCCAAATTCTGACCCTACCATCCGAATGTCGCAGCAGAAATCGAGACTCATCAGACCAGGCAACGTTTTTCCAATCTTCTATTGTCCAACCCGGTGTGGTCTTCTGCTGCTGTAGCCCATCTGCCTCAAAGTTCGACGTACTGTGCGTTCAGAGATGCTCTTCTGCCCACCTTGGTTGTAACGGGGGGTTATTTGAGTCACTGTTGCCCTTCTATCAGCTCGAACCAGTCTGGCCATTCTCCTCTGACCTCTGGCATCAACAAGGCATTTCCGCCCACAGAACTGCCGCTCACTGGATGTTTTTTCTTTTTCGGACCATTCTCTGTAAACCCTAGAGATGGTTGTGTGTGAAAATCCCAGTAGATCAGCAGTTTCTGAAATACTCAGACCAGCCCTTCTGGCACCAACAATCATGCCACGTTCAACGTCACTCAAATCACCTTTCTTCCCCATACTGATGCTCGGTTTGAACTGCAGGAGATTGTCTTGACCATGTCTACATGCCTAAATGCACTGAGTTGCCGCCATGTGATTGGCTGCTTAGAAATTAAGAGTTAACTAGCAGTTGGACAGGTGTACCTAATAAAGTGGCCGGTGAGTGTATAGCCCTTATAACACTTATAGCACTTATGAGACTTTATTTGGTTTTCTTTCAACAATGGCTTCCTCTTCCCAATCCTAATTGGGAAGAGGAAGCCATTGTCCGCTTTTCCATTTAAGAGCTCTCGATGCTTGGCTTGTCAGTTGAGAGCTTATTATTTGACACATATTAAAATGGGGAAAGGTATGCCAAGTACACCCTACAATAACAGAGAGTTTCACTTGCTCCAACTTGCCATGATTTATTTGTTATATCTCTATTGTCCTCTCTGAACTGTCCGTAGCTTTACATATAAACAAAAGATCACCTTTCAAATGTCATTTTGCCTACCTCTTTAGTAGATTATCATAGCTTTCTTTAATCAGATCCCTCTCTCCCTCCAGGTCTATGATCCTCTCTTGAAGCTGCAGGAAAATAAGGTGCGTTATTTTCAACCTGACAGCGTCACAAATAAACCTACTACACAAGGGTGTAGATTAGTTACCTTGTCCAGATTCTGCAGAGACAGAGTGGTGGTGTTGAGCTGTCCCTCAGCTGTCAGAGCTTTTTGTCTCTCCTGCTTCAGTTGTTCAGTCAGCTCCTCCACTTTCTGCAACAGAGCGCCCTGACTTTCCCTTAGCGCCCTCTGACTCTGCAGTGAACACAATAAATAAGACCACTCTCATCTGCAAAAGTCAGGGTTTCTCTGTATATAGAGGTCCATACCTCCTCCAGCTGATTCTCATACGCCTAGGGAGAGACAGACACCAGGGTAGTAAGATAATGTCAGGTTTATGTGCTATTTCAGAAGACTAACAATGTACAGAAGTAGAAGAGGACAGAGATAAGATCTCACCTCCTGCAGGTCTGCAAACTTCTCCTGGCTCACTCTCAGGGCTGTACTCTTCTCTGAGAGCTGCTTTTGCAGACGAATCAGATCCACATTTTCTCGGATAGTTGTTCTGCAACAGTCAAATGCATTTTCTTTTTTTCAAATGGTAAGTACACTTTTGGGATTAATAGAGTACCAACCATTTAAAATGTTCCTTCCCAGTCAAACACCAGCCAAATGGCAGCCTACTTCCATGCAACTCCCAGAAAAATCCCCCCCGACTTCCAGCCACTGGAATGACCCACCCTCCCTTTCCTGGGTGAGCAAAATGTTTTACTCTAATTCCACCCTTTCACAAAATTACAGGTTCTGACCAGGAGAAAATGCTTCTGTTTATATCTTAATGTCCACAAATCATGAAATAAAGAATATTTTAGTACAAAGATTGATGTGTAAAAGGAATCGTAGGGGACCAGCCAAGGGTTCATCAAGAAAAGTGGGGACATTTTGAATGGCTACCACTGTAAATACTTATATGTAATTATGCAGATAGTTGAGCCTTTTTTTGTAATATTATTCACCATCAGTAATGTCTGTAAATCTACCTGTGTCTGTCAGCATGTTGCTTCCTCAGCTCTCTGAATGTTCCCTCCATCTCTTTCTCTCTCTCTCTCAGAGTGTCTCTGAGAGTCTGAGCTGTCAGCTCCAGTTCTGTCATCCTCGCCTGGTCCGTCATACTGGACCTGCTGGATGATAATGGATTTTATGTACAAGGAAGTTGAGGAATGATGTGTTAAAGATAAGTGTTTTTTTACACACGTCCACCTACAATCTTTCCATCTCTGCTCTGGTTTCTTCCAGTGTGAGGCCGTATCGTGCAGGAGCAGTCCGTGCTGCCCTCCTGACTCCTGCCTCCCCCTCTGGGTTTTTACCTGAAATAGAATGAAAACACAAGCAGCACTGATGAGAAGTTTCTGCTCTTCTGACATCTGAGCTGTCATCATTAAGCCACAGATCTGCCATGAATAGACGGAACCTCATTGAATCCTTCAATAAAAAGGGTTGGAGATCCAACCAGAATAATTCCAAACCTTGGTGGTGGCTCCAAATCAGTTGTGTTTCTCTTCAACTTTCAAACAGACATTTATTTGAATGTGTGTGGAAGGTTATTTATCTTGATCTTTATGCATTAGTCATACCAAAATATGAGAACTCTTGCATCCACTCTTACTTGTATAATAACTTTTCAGTTACTGATAATTCAGTCACGAAACAATAACTTTTCAAATTGATCTTAAAATGAATCTAATGCTTTTTCTTGGTAAACCTCCGTTAGTGGTAGTGTGAGATGGCTAAGAATGGTCTTTGCCGACATCCCACCTTTGCTGTATCTGTAAGGCATGTGAGCCCCGAGGTCCAGGATGTGCTGCTTGGCCATGCTGAGTTTATTCTGCAACACCTCCTTTTGACTCTCTAACATCGCTACCCGAGCCTCCAGTTCCTGGATGGCTTCCTCCATGTCCCTGTCCTTGACAGGACCAGACCCCGGACGGGCCTGACGAAGACGCATCAGCTTTGTGGACATCCTGCAGTAAAACAAAAGTTTTGAAGGAAGTTAAGGCATAATTTGAACTAATGCATAGCCTCAGGCTACCTTCTTACTCACTGGTTTCAGGTTCTACTCTAAAACTTAAGTAATGGAAACATTGCACCAGGTGAACTTTTAGTGAAAGCAATTCTTTCCTATATTATCCCTGAATATTTTGTAATGTTAATCAGAAAGTGCTTCAACTCTCACTTTTTAGTTTTCTATCACAAAATCTTATCAGCCTCCATGAAATGCTGTCAGCAGGGCAATCATCATCATCATCATCATTTTCATCATCATGATCATCAGCATCATGATCATCATTATCCTCGTCGTCATCATCATTGTCTTCATCATCATCATCATCATCATCATCATCATCATCATCATCATCATCATCATCATAATCCTCTTCAACATAGTCATCCTCGTCGTCATTGTCACCATCATTATCATCGTCCTTGTCGTCATCAATATCATCTTCATCGTCATCATTATCCTTGTTGGCGTCGTTGTCATCATCCTCCTCCTTGTCATCATTGTCATCATCTTCATCCTCATCGTCACCATCATCATCCTCTGCGCGTTTGTCATATTCATCAAAATCATCAACCTCATCGTCGTTGTCATGATCATCACATCATCTTCATCATCATGATCATCATCACGATCTTCAACTTCATCATCAGTGTCGTCGTAGTCATCATCATCGTCGCCTTCATAATCATCATCATCGTCATCATCATCATCCTCCCCCTCAACATCATCATCATCTACACCAGGTACCGTGCCTTTATATTACTAAACTGTTTAAGTTGGTGAGACCAGAAATCTTTGTAAGTACTGGTTCCAGAGGTGCTCGTTTTTACTGTATTATTCCCCATCTTTGTTCAGATGTTACCTGCGGAGTCGCTGCTCCTGTGTCTGTGCGTGTTGTCTGAGCAAACTGTTCTCCTCCTGCAGCCGCAGACACAGGTCCTCCAGATGCTCTCTGGGAAATCGAAACAGCCGCTGAGGGTCTGCTGGAGACACAAGACACAGTCATGATAATGTGAACCCAAATGTGCAAAGCGGAGTTTTTGAAAGTTATTCTACCTTTCATCTTTGAATTGTGATGCTTCTTCCATGGTTTCACGTCACGAAGGGTATCTGGGAAACCAGAAAATAATCATATTTTCAAATAAACTCTGTTGAACCATCTTCAGGTTCAATTTCTTAGGTGAATGCCAATCTAACATTTCAGAACAGTTTCAGCTACCCTAACTGATACATTAGTAAAAAGCAGCTCATTTTTTTTTAACATAGTCAACACAATTTACACTACAAGATGTTGTAGTGGGTTGATGCAGCGGAGAATTTCAAATAGTTGGTTTACTATCCTGCAAAAATAGGATATTTTAAAACATTAACTAGTTGCATTTTTTTATGTGTAAGAAATGAACAGCAAACAAAGAAAAAAAAGTCATAGCATATAAATTAAGAAAGTGATTTCAGTACTGACATTGATTACATAACTTTTGTCTCTAAAAGCATAAAAACAAGAAAATAAATGCCAACAAAGGACATGTCAGTTCCAAAAAAAAACAAAGGACAATATAACTTAAAACTCGATTAGAAAATAGAAAAAATGCAATTCCTTTTATGCAAATGAATATTTGGCATTATGACATAATAAAAACCCTTTTTGAAACAAAGCCCAAATATACTAGAGATGTTTCTGGTTATCAGAAAATGAATGACAAAGATGAAAAAAACAAACAAATGAAAACTTGTACATTCATCCGTCATCAATTTAGCTTATCCTGTTGTGCAACTAGTAGATGTCAACCTTTCCTGTCTGGACAACATCTGTTGTCCAACCAGAATCCTAGCTCCTGTCTTGTTACCAGCTCAATCCACGGGAATTTTGTAGGATTTAGTCCATGGACTAAGATGAATATGAAAGGAGGGTGATTTTATCTTTAAATAACCCCGCCTGTGTTGATTTAAAGTTTTTTTTGTCATCATCATTGTCAGAGGTCACTGGTTTCTATTTGACATGTCCCAATATTTAAAAAAAACTTCAGGCTGCCATGCACTCTAACTAGCTTGCAGGAGAAAAGAGAAAGAGAGCCACAGCATGCCAGATCCTCCACCGTGTCTTGCAGTGGCAGTTAGCATGCATTTTAACATATTTGTCCTTTGTTTCACAGCACACCCAGCAGGAGTCAGCCCCATCTAAACTTCCACTATGATTTAGAAAACTCCATACTGCTAATATTGGATGCATGATATGCCTTTAGCTATCTAACACATAAATAAGTTGAAATGCTATTCATTTTTTTAAGCAAAACTATTCTAAGGAAGCTTTGTGTCATTTTCATTACAGGAATGCTGTCGTAGCAGAGTAACACAATGATATAAAAAATCATACATTTAAATGTTTTCTTCACTATATCCTGTGATCAATCAAAAACAAACCTGGGAAGGTGGGCATCAATCCTCCTCTCATTATCCCCACATCTCTAACTGGTAGGTCCCCGGCTGTCTCGTCCACCACCGGTGACATCACACTATTTTTTTCTGCAGGCTCAGCCAATCACAGAGCTAAGATCAGTTAATCTGTGAAACTCTGGAAACAAACAAAAAAAAGTAGTTAAAAATAGTTTTATAAAATCAATTAATTAATTGCATTTTATTTAGATTCATAATGCTTTTTGTAAAAACAGAAGTTGGGTTTTTTAAAGGATCACTATCTATTTTTTTTGTTGGAATTTTAACCACAAGCAATAAATCTTGAGTTAAGTTTGCAGTCTTAAAGTCAGGAGCATCCTAGTTAAGGGGGACACACCACCCATTAAAGCATTCAGTAAATTCTTGCAATCAGACAAATCCTTGAATTCTGGAGAGCTTAATGCATTTCCGAACAGCTGATGATACAGGAAACGTCTGCATAAAGCAACGCAGTGGAAGTTAATCAATATGATAGTATCTAGTCTAATAAATTTAGAAGATATATTTGCTTTACCCTCATCTGTTGTCCATTCCAGCATGTTCTTCAACACTAAAGAGATGACAAATGTTTGTCAGTGTTATCCTTTAGGCATTGTGAGATTTGTGTGTCCCCGCCCCAGAGCCTGGATGACACGTTAAATCCCTCATCTCGTTATAATTCCTCCAGTGCTCCCTGTCAGACAAACTGAACAGATCTAAGTCTGATTCTTAATAACTTAGTCTCTAAAATTATTTAGATTGGGTTCTGCATAATATACATAATCACATGGGATAGAATCATTAATTATAAAGTAATGTCTCAGAGTGAAGAAGTGTGTCTCTATGCTCCATCTGCCTTGTAGCTAATCCTATTTCTGCACTAATCTGATCACCATTAAGGTGACAGGTTGTTTAATGTGGACATGTGCTGTGATGTCAGTCGGGTTTGTATCCTTTGCAGACAGAGGGATTGATCTCTTAAATGTTAATAGAGAGTGCCCCTCTGTGGAGGTTGATAAAAGAATAACACAACAGATGGAATAGTTCCCATGCTACTCAAATATTAACTAAATTAATCCAAGATTTCCGAGAGCTCATATATCTGAAAGTTCAGTTGCAGAGTTTTTAAGTTGAAATATATATATGTGTGGTTATTAGTGACAGGTTAGCAGTAAGATAAAGAATACCTTTAGGTGTGGTTATATTGGTGAATATTAAACTTCCTTCCTTCCTTCCTTCCTTCCTTCCTTCCTTCCTTCCTTCCTTCCTTCCTTCCTTCCTTCCTTCCTTCCTTCCTTCCTTCCTTCCTTCCTTCCATCCATCCATCCATCCATCCATCCATCCATCCATCCATCCATCCATCCATCCATCCATCCATCCATCCATCAAATAACCCGCCAACTGATTGATTACCACAATCTCAACTTTATTTAGCTTAATTTGTAGAGTTAATTGATTCATTCTGTTTATAATATATAAATCCACGATATAAAAACTTATATAAAACCACTTAAACATTTAATATTTCTTGTTAAAAGTAGTAGTAGTGGTTGTGATAGTGTTATCATACAACTACTATTAAATACTTTCCATATGATAATACATATGTGTATTTTTTTTAATAAAAAAGCATATTCTTATGCAATAAATACAAGTACTTGTGATAATGTTCTATTCCCTGAAAAAATAGTCTCAATGGTTACATTTTTTTTATATTTTTTCCAATATAAGACTATATAACTGTATAAATAGATTTAATTTGAAGAATCTTTGGACATATATACAATAAGTCTCTAAAAGGGAACATGGTGTTTTATAAAACCATGTTACAAGGAGTGTTAAATGAACTAAAAAGTCATTGGATTCATATTTAAAATGTCATATAGTGATGTCCTCTAAATCCCTGCTGAAGACATGCTTATTAAGTGGCAGGATGGTCAGCGGCGATCTGTTGGTGCCGTCGTCATTTGTATCCGGGTTGAAAAAGGGAAAAATGGCCTCAGTGAAGTGGTACTCTGTGAATGAGTAGATGTGTGACCGAGTCTCTGCATTGTAAAAGGACACAGTCCCATCTTCATAATCCAGGAACACACCAACGACCTGTGGCCTCTGGCTAGGATACAGCAGCTTCGCCTCTCCTCCGCAGGCCCAGTACTCAGTTCCTTTCCTCAGACAGATAGCCCAGAATCCATCCTCTGGGCTCAGAGTGACCACGCTTTTCCTTTTGACAGATGCCCGAGCCACACCCAGGTCCCACGCTGTCTTATCTCCCACCTGCACCTCCCAGTACCGCCTCCCTGTGGTAAAACCCTACAGAGACAAGAATAAAGGGTCTGAAGCCATTTTTGTGTTTCATTTGCTAAATAAAATTAAATAAATAAAACATGTGAAGGAGTATTACAAAACATTTTAGGATCATCCTTTTAGAAATATTTGAAAAGACACAGAGATTAGCTCAAAATAGCACTTTTAGTCTTAGCATTTTGGTTGAAGTTATTAGGAGCCATAGTGGAGGATCTAAAGAGTCCCAGGTCGCAGAGATGGGCCCCACCCTAAACAGCGAGGCATAAAACCCAACCTTTATTACCATAAGTGCGAGGACACATGGAGCTCTGTCAAACCGCTCAGGGAGATCTGCCACATTTTGCATTCTGTTTCCATCCTGCACCTGCCTCCCATCCTCTGACAGAACCAGCCATGGGTTGGCTGTCTTTGGGTCCAGAAGGACATCAGCTTGTTGGACAAAAAGAGAACACAGCAGAGGAACCTTTATGTTGTTATGGCTCATATCAGCCATTGTTATGTCTGTGTTTCCAGGCTGTTGATAGTGTTAAACACGTAGTACTCGTCAATCCTTACACTTATTTGTCTCCCTGGTAAAGATGTGTAAAAGTATAAGCTAAACATTTCATTTAAACTCAACATTCAGTTCTTTTAAAATAAAACATTTTCCAATGGATAGACAAAAATAAAATTGAGAATTGTAAATAATTTAGGAACGTCTTTAAAGATTTGAATGTCAAATAAATTTAATAACTAATAAAGACTTTCTAACCCGGAGGTATAAAAACTATTTAACTCAAACCCCAATCACAGCCACTCTTCAAAACAGGAATCAGAATCAAACATTTTATGAAGTTTGATGTATTTTACACCTTACTATGTAATGTGATGTGGTGCTTGAAAAATCTAACTCCCATAACCCATCCATGACATAAAGGCAGAGATAGGCCTAATTAAAAAGTAAAAAAATAAAACAACTACAGTAAAACCTGGATTTACTTTAAGAATTTAAAACATCTTTAATCGGTTTTCCAACGAATTAGCAAAGCTGTGTAGTTTGGATGTACAAGAAAGGCTTTGATCGTTCCTTGTTTGCTCTCAAATTTAATGTAAGCTAGTCAAGATTTTTATATATCCATTGTTACAATGTTATAAAGGTCAACAGAAATTAAGTTTATAAAAAAACAAATAAAGGGGAGATAATGCAAAAATAATCTGAAAGTCCCCTAAATTTTACCTTCATACTGCTGGACCTTTTTGTGCTCTGAAAGACAACAGGAACACAGTAATTGAGTAAAATTGAAATTGTGATAAATAAAGATAATGAATGGCCTAATGATTTTTTCCATCTTGACAGACCTTTAAAGGACAGTTTTTCAATCTGTAATTTCAGCTGCTCTTGAATGCCAGCAACTGCTCTCCTTATGGTCCCCAAGCAAGTGTCTGAATAGACGAGGATGTTTAAGGAGTCGTCTTTAGACACAGCAGAGCTCACAGATGGAAAACTCTAAGACCAAGGATTCAAAATAAAAAGTACAGATCAGATTATAAGATTATGTAATTATGCTTAAGGTCTAACTTCAGGAGTGCTGATGAATATTCCCAACTCTATCTGATGGTGATGGGATTATTTCTCAATCCACCCATTTTTCAGTTTGTACAGTATCTCCCCAAATTGTATAAAGACTTTATCTCTATCCCTACATCCCTGAGCAGTATGGAAGCGAATCGTTACCATATTTCAAATGAAAAAGCATTTTCAGAAATGCTTTTTCAAGTGTGCCGGCCGGAAACTGGTTGAATTGGATTCTACCTGCTCAGCTAATTCTAAAAGTGGTTGTACAATTCTGGAAATGCTTTTTCATTTTCAAATTTTACATTTCAAATTGAATTTTGGTATGTATTTGCTGGGGTATGTTTTGAAAAGTAAATCTCAAATGTCTTTTTCTTTTTCATTTTAAATAAGTAAAAGGATGAGCAGTGTTAAAGGAGAAAAGGAAAATGCAAACAGGATGATTGATTAATAATTTCATTTATGAGTCAAACAATGAAGCCACATTCTTAAACAAAAAGCATTTCTTAAAATGCTTTCTCATTTGAAATATGGTAACGATTTGCTTCCATAGAGCGGAGCAATTCACTGATGAAATACAACAAATAATGAAAACCAGATTGAAACAAAATAGATATTATCTTTTAGAGATATGCTCACACTGCAATGATGATTTACTGAAAAGAAAATTATTTGACTTTTATCTAATGATTGGTATAATAGGATATAAAATGTTCCACTGGTGGGTATAAAATATATCATATAAATATCCTGAAGATAAATAAAATGTCAGATATGAAATAAAGAATCGATCTGTTCTTATTATGACCTGCACAACATGAAGGTCATCCTCATGGTGCAACAGCACCTCCAGTTCTCCTCTTCTCCTCTGCAGCTCAGAGATTTCTGATTCCAGGTCCAGAATCAGCCTCTTCGCCCTCACTTCTGCTACCATCTGCTTCTTCTTGATCACCTCCACCAGCTCCACTTGGCTTCTCTCCACGCTGCGAAGCAGAGCTGAGAAAATCTGCACACTTTCCTCAATGTCCCTCTTTGAGTTTTCCTGCGAGTGAGGAGTAGAAACTAAAAATGAGGGGAAACTGTAGCGTATAATTAGGAAAAACAGATGAGGATTGCATATTTTGAAGAGTTATCCTTACTCTTCCCAATGTGTGATATCATAGCTTCATAGCTCAAGTCTATTGCAAGACAGGCTTATATTTTCCTGAATCAACTCACTTTGCCAAGATCAAGATTGTGCTTGATCTCCTCCAGCTTCTGCAGCCTCTCCTGGATCATCTGCTGAACTTCACCTTGGATAAGTTTTATCTGAACCTGAAGAACAATGATCAAAGCTGTAAAGTAAAGTAAACCCTAAACTGAGGATGTCAGACTCTTGACAGTCACCTTCTTTTCTTTACTCTCTCGTTCCACTGGAACCGTGTCACGGCAGCGGTGATCGGTTTTGATGCACTGCAGACAAACACACTCCTGATGACTCCTACAGAACAACTCCAGGAGCTTCTGGTGGCTCCTACACACCCTGCTCTCCAGCATGGCAACAGGCTCAATCAGTGTGTGATTCTTCAGCACCCCAGCTCTCAGGTGAGGCTCCAGGTGGGCCTCGCAATAAGAGGTCAGACACACCATGCAGGACCTCAAGGCCTTGGTTTGCTTTCCTACGCACACGTCACAGCTAACAGTCTTCCCCACCACACCGTTCTGCCTCCTGGCTCGGATCTGCTCTGACATTTCTTTGGCGAAAGAGTTTTCGCAGAGCTCGGGACACATTTCGTACACTGTGTGACACTTGGGGCAGTTGATAGAGCGTCTTCCATCCCAGTGAGAGGTGATGCAGGTGTGGCAGAAGCTGTGGCCACAGGGAATGGAGACTGGCTCCAAAAAAACATCCTGACAGATGGAGCACTGAAACTGCTCTTCAGACAGAAAAAAGTCATGGGAAGTCATCACCTCAGAAGGGAAAAACAGAACCATGATGTTAATTGAAACAGATAATACTATATCAGATCAAAACATTGCAAGTGTTATACGTATAAAGAGTATTTAATCAAAAACTTTACATCTCTTGTACTGTTTCTTATTTTTTACCTTACTTGATTTACTGTATTAAAGTGTTGGGAAACATCTATAAAACTAACTTAAACCCTACTTTTTTTCACAGCTTTTTTTCCCCCACACCTTGAACCATGCAGGTTATATGAAGGTGCGGCTTTTATGTGGATTTTTCCCAACTGCCAGGGGGTGGAAATCATAGTTCGAAATCAAAGACGAAGCGGCTTATATTAATTTAGCACAAGCGCCTGCTAGCAGCAGGCACAACGCAGTACAGATGTACAAAATTCAAAAAATTTGAGATTTATTTGTCGAACCGGTGAAGATACTGTGTGCAGGATCTGCAGAGGTACGCTCTATAACACGAGGTGGATTGGTGGCCTCAGTTTTCTAACCTACAGCCACTGGATCCTTTGTGTGGCCCACATGCCATGTACAGCATCTTTAAAGTACCAGACATTATGGAGACATCCACTGCTCCACTTAAAATTTTTTTCAGATTTGACTTGCCTTCAAATATCAGATTTAGATACTCCAATGTCTGCCTGTTCTAAAAGTATCAGGTTCCTAAACAGTCTGGTGGGAAGTGTGCACACAGTTATAATAGATATATTAGAACTTTAACTGAGTGAAATGATTATGAAACGAACAACTTCAATGCATGTTGAAAGCAGGAACAAAGAGTTTGTCTTTTGCATAATTATGCTGTTGTGCCTTACAATGTGGAACTGTACCAGTACCTCCGTCCCCAAAATAGCCTCACAACAGGATGGTACCACTACTGTGCCAAGCAGTTTAATACAAAGAGCTTTTGTTGAATACCTTGACTGCTCCATGTCGGTACCATTATTTCTTCATTGCTCAATATTTATGCAAATATTTCAACAGATACAAATCAAGCCTAATAGCAAAGTTGAGATGGTAAAGAAAAATAAGGAGGGGCACTTATTTTATTTTTCTGTAGCTCAGAGTGGCTTTTCCAAATAAGAAAGACACCCGCCTGGAATGGGAGGAGGGGCAGCAGCACCTAGATGCAAAAATGGCATATGGTATAAGCCTGTTGGGAACCGGCTAATGCCAGTTGGTAACTTGTTTTAAGCCAGTTGCTAAAAGGCATATTCCATTTGGAAACTGATTTATGCCAGTTGCTAACTGGCATATGCCGATTGGGCAACTGGCACGGACCATTTTCCAAATGGCATAAGCTGGTTCCCCACTGGAATATACCATTTTTTTTTTACTTGCATGCCAGAAACCACTTTGTGTTCTCGCTGTCACTCAGGAGGAGGGTGTGGAAATTGTCAAATTCATTATTTTTTTTTTTACGTTTTCAGCTATAGCCCTAGCTATCTCAATTTTCTTTTTCCTCAGCTCAACATTTCTCTGCCCTGAAACATTATTAAAAATGACCAATTCAATTACATCTGACCCATTTGATCATTAGCTTGAATCAACTCAGGAACCCTTGTTGGCCAAAGTCCACCTGCCTGGACACATGACTCAGTACCTCACCTTCTGTTTCAGTTCTGTTTCAAACATAACACAAAACACAAAAACATGAAACACCAACAGTTTCCCACCTTCCCATTTAGTAAATCATAGCAATCCACAAATCCTTGAACTGCTACACAAAAACATGTAACTCTCATCTGAAAGAGCCAGTTTGTGGTTCCATAATTTATTCTCCTTCTGCATTAATCTCCATGGTAAAAAACTAAAATCAAACCAACATTAATGGTAGGTTACAGTGTTTATTTCTGGTGATTTACTCTGTCTAAGTCTTGTCCTACCTTTTTTCCCTGAATGTGAAAGATGACCTCGGCTCGAGCAAACACTGGGCATTGTGGTTGTTAAGCCAAAGTCCTTCCTATTTAGCTCTTACCACTCCCTGTGGGAATTTTTTTTCATGTCACTCTGTTGTGGGAGGGGTAATGTCAGCATTGGCAGTATTGATTTGTTTTGTAAAATATTTCCTGTATTTCTATGAAGATATTTTAACTGGTTTGAACAAGACAGAAGTGACACCAGTTTTTCCACTTTAAAATTCAACAAAATGTAATTTATTAAGAAGATAGATATAATGATAGATAGATAAACTGAACAGACAGTAAATACATTTCAATATTTGATAACAAATAGCAGTTCTGCGCATCTCATGGCTGAACAGATGTAACCTTGATGGAAAACTGAGGCAACAACCCATGCTGAAGGAACCACTGTTAAAACAGGAAAACCACAGGTCAGTGGTCAATCTACCATAGGTCTTTAGATTCATATCCAAGGCAACGATGTAATCTAGAAAAAGAAACGTAATGATCTAATTATAACACTTAACCTATTATGTGTTCTATAGAAACAGATTTGTAAACACGGAGTCTTTGCCAGTGAGGTGCATAAACTTCTTTATGAATGAAGTTCACATTTCTGAGAAGTTTATTCTAAATAATGCTACCTTTGAAATGGAGAATTAGAAGGAAACTTATATTGACATCATTTTAACTGTGGGGTTAAGCTCTAACCTTGGATATTATCAGATTTACAATGTTTAATTAAGGCTTTTTGTAATTAATAATCAATGCGAAATGGAGCAAAGGGAAAGGCAGCAGCTTTCAACTCCTCTCGACGTTTTGTGAGTCAGTGACTACGAGAATAACAATGTTTGTTTAGTTTGACATTGAGAAAAGTGGCAAACTGGGAGAGTAATAAAGGGGCAAAAAGATCCACAGTCAAAACTATAATTAAGTCATATTATAGTAATGAAGGAGAGCAATCATTTTGGAAATACTCCATTTTAGAAGCAGTTTCTGCAGGGAAAGATAATGTCCTTTTAACTCTATAAGAGAAACAATTATGCCACCTTAACCCTAAACATGGATCATTACCATTAATTGATCTTAATAGTTTAGAACTATGGTGTGATAAATATGTTTAGACCCTAATGAACGAGCAGTATCTCAAAGCGAAGCTTTTGTCTTTCAAAATACATAGGCAGTTAACTATGAATGTGAATACATTTATTTTGGCTGGAATGAACTGAAATATTAGCTACTATTTTAGGAGGATGAAGCTGGAAAACTCTGTTCTTATCTTTCCTGACAATATTATGAAGTTTGCACAGTTACTGTTTAACTAAAATAAAAATGATCAACTAAACATTAAACAAAGTAAAATTATGAAAGTGTATTGGCTATTACTTACTTGGTCCTAAAGGTAGATGAGTTTGGGACAAGAGAAAAAGGGAGAAATAGAAATTATTTAATTACTTAATTCAAAAACTATAAATCAATTGACAGGACATTGTATCAACAAAGCAAACAATCCCACCAGTAGTAGCATTGATGCTGACTCCATTGCTTCTGACATTCTCAAACACAGAGAAGAGGGTGAATGTGTATTTAGCTCCAGCAGTCAGAGATGTGACTGTGTGAGTTAATAGTCCATCTCTGTCTGTTGCTCCAATGTTTGTCTCTGTGCCATTAAACTGGAGAACAAAGCTGGTGTTGTTGTTGATTTTATCCCACTGCAGAGTGATACTGGTCTCATCTTGGCTTAATGGTCTAAAGTTGCTTGGATTTTGAGGAGCTGATGGAGCAAAGAGAAATAAAAAGCAGTCAAGTAATTAAAGGTAGAAAAAATGTTGCCTCCTCCTCTTGAACTTTTTCCAAAATTGTTTGAAAATGACAGAAAAAGTTTCAGAAAAGTTTCAGAAACTTGCCAAAATTACGGTCAAGAAAATAAGCTTCATAATCAACATAGCAACAGATTCACACAATAAATGACTAGTTGCTCTTCTCTTTCAGAGCAAAAAATGCACTGTATCTGCTGAGGTAGAGTCAAATTAGAATAAACAAATACCAAAAGAAATTTCCTTTCTGTTCCTAGAAGGCTGTAGCCATTTGATTATCGTTTAAACTCATAAAGTCTAGTCCTCTCTGCACCTACTCTGCGGGTGTTTGGTCCACATGAGCGTGGGCCCACGTCATCTGTTTGGCTGGGCCAGGCTGGGCCAGACTGGGCCCCATAGGCAAAGGCCCGGCCACCAGGCGCTCGCATACGAGCCCCAACCCCAGGCCTGGCTCCAGGGTGGGGCTGCGCCATACCGGGCAACTCTTTCCATAAGGGTCTTCTGAGCTGCTCTTAGTCTGACCCGTCACCTAGGACCTTTTGCCATGGGAGACCCTACCAGGAGCATAACTTCCCAGACAACAAAGCTCCTAGGATCATTCGGACAGTCAAAAAACTCCACAACGTTAAGGTGGCAGATTGCGGGGGTTGTTAAAGTAAACAACCCCCATGTTTACACAAAATAAAAAAAAAAAACTAATTAAAGGGTGGAAGTGAAGACTAGCCAGTCAAACAAAAGAAAGGAATTAAGAAAGTGTGCTGGAAAAAGATGAAAATAAATAGTGATGAGAATAAAGATGGAATTAGAATTGCTTTTACGGTACTTACCAGGAAACACTAGAGAGATAAGACTAACTAGTTTGAGAAAAAAAAAAAAGTTTGTAAGAAATGTTGTGGAATCATTAACTTAGGCCTCCTTTAGCCATGCTATCTCTCTTCTTCTTTTAAATTAAGCTGCTTCTTGGACAATATCAACAACTTCTAAAATATAACTGATAATTGGAATCAAGTAGTCACCTCATTTAGATGTATCATCCTTCAAGAATCAAGCCAAGAAAAATAGCCGTTTTTTATAAAATACAGAGCAGTGTAACCTGTGAGCATTACTGTTTAATTTCGGTAAAAATATTTTATCTGTGTGTTACAGATGATGATGATTATAAATGCACATACTGTAGACATGGGGCTTATAATGGATGAAGTGCAATCTTAATTACCAAAAAAATATACAAATTCAGGTGTTAATTTGAGACATAAAGCTCAGAAATTCTGGTTGATCTAATCTCAAGTTACATTGCAAATATAGAGATTGATGCATTTTCAAAGTGAACAATGCAAGAACTGTTCAATTCAATTTAAGACAGCTTTTTTCTTTAGCATTTCTTACTAGCAATGAAGTTAAATATCTCACCAGTGACAGCCGAAAGCTGTACTCCTCTGCTCCTGACATTCTCAAACACCGTGGTGAGGAGGAATGTGTATTTAGTTCCAGCAGTTAGAGATGAGAGTGTGTGAGTTACTGGTCCATCTCCATGTGGTGCATTAATGAATATTTCCGCACCATTGAAGAAGAGAACATAGCTGTAGTTGTTGTTCCTTTTATCCCACTGCAGAGTGATGCTGCTCTCATTTTGTGATGAGGATCTAAAGCCCTCTGCATTTTCAGGAGCTAAAATTAAATTAGATGAAAATAGATTTGTTAGTTTGTGTTAAGTTTTTGATTATTAGCCTGAGTGTTTTGCTTCTCTATGTAGTCCCTGTGGGCTGAAACAAATCAACACCTTATATTACAGGAGAAAACACGAAAGCAAACATTTTTAAGATAATGGTAACAGTGCCAAGTGTCATAATAGATTCCTATATTTTATTTAAAATAAATCAAAATTTGATTAGATGAGCTATATTGATCTCACAGCAGAGAAATTCACTGGTCACATATTGGCATAGTACTTAAAGAAGGTGCAAACAAGGAGGAAAAGGTGCATTAGGAATAATAAAAAAAAAAATCTTTTTAACTTGACTGTCAGGGCTCCGTACAACCAGAAAGTTAGAGGGAAACAAAGTATGTTATCATTAAAACTCTACTGCTGATTATCTCAAACACAAGAGATTAAATTTGTTTTTCAGTTCCAGCAGACAGAGATGAGACTGTGCGTGTTACTGGTCCATCTATGTCTGACCATTTTTTCCCCCTGTGCCATTAACTGGAAAAACTTGTTCTAAGATCTTTAAAAACTTTTAAAAAGTTTGCATGCATAATGCAGAACAACAAGCAAATTCCTAGTAAAAAAAAAACATCAGGAAAAGAGAAATGTGTTATGTTCAAACTACAAAAAGGCAGAATTTTTCCCCTCATCCACTGCAAAAAACATTTACGGCAGAGCTACTTCCTTAACCAAGCCTGTCTTTAAAGTTAAGCTTTCTACTGTAAAAGACAGCAAGGCTTAGGGTATAATTGGTAAGGCGTTCTGCTAAGATGGCATTTTGTTTTTGGTTGGTTAATCCCTTGACAACATTTAATATTTTGACACAGATAATACATCATCACAAGTTAAACTTGAGTTAAACTCAGGATTAAAATGAAAGAGACACTGTGCAGATGAATGTAACACTTAGTGTTTCCAAAGCATGATTGTAGTCAGAAGTAGTCAGACAGGATTGTCCATATATTTTTAAAAGTCATCTTGTTTTCTTTCTGCTGCAGCTTACATGTACCTGTTATGCAAATTAAAAATGTCCAATGCAGAAATAGTTCCGTGTGAGCCCAGTTATTTAAAATGTCCAATGATGTCATGACATGTTGATTATGTCGGTTATTTAAGGTAACCTGAAAATAATTTCATTCTCAGCTTGGTCACATCTATAAAAAGTGAGGATTAAAATAGATGGGGCAAAGACTAAGTTCAACATCTTACCAGTGACAGCTTTAATTTGTACTCCATTGCTTCTGATGCTATCGAGCACAGAAAAGAGAGTGAATGTATATTTAGTTCCAGCAGACAGAGATGAGACAGTGTGGCTTATTGGTCCATCTCCTTCTGGTGCACTGATGTTTGTCTCTGTGCCATTAAACAGGAGAACAAAGCTGATGTTGTTGTTGATTTTATCCCACTGCAGAGTGATACTGGTCTCATCTTGTGCTGATGGCCCAAAGTTTCCTGCATTGGGTGGAACTGACAGAAACAAAAACAAAAAAAAGGGATGAGGAATAACTCTTAGTCCTTTAATACATAAAAAGTCACAATTTACTTTGTCAAATATTTCATTCTTCAGTATTACATTTATAGTTAGACTTTAGTGACATCTGTTGTGGATAAAAATAATTGCATTTGAGCAGGAAACCATGGAATTACCTGTAGGGAGAACAAAAAAAAAGCTAAAAGAATTGAAATGCTACCCTCTTTAGAAGTAAAAGTGATTTTAAAGGAGTCTTAAGCAATTTATTACTTTAATGTGATCTAAATATATTATTATAGTATTATTATTATATAATAAAGTAACCTGCAAAAAAATTATTTTGCTCTAAAAAAATCTTTATCTCAGTTGACATCGCATTGGTTTTTAAATGTTGATGAACTATTTTCCAGAAATCAAGGAACATTTTGTCCATATCTATTTCTTGATCATTATTTTGCAATCTTACGAAAGAAAACTGTAAGAATGTGTTGTACTGTATTCAACAGCCCTTAACATTTTCAAATTTTGTAACATTACAACGATTTGATTCAATGATGCAATGATATATTTGATTTAGATTTTATGAGATGGGCAAAAAAGAAAAACAACAGCTGTACATTTGTAGATTTAAGGAAATATAATAAAGCAGGTTTAGGTTTTGTATAAAGACATGAAAGATGTCATGTGCCACGGCAAAAGAAGTTGCCTTAAGTCATCCTTTGTATAATTTAATCTAAGAGGAGATCAGAAGGGAACCTTTTGGCTTACAAGTAAAAGGATGTGTGGATATTTAATTTCAGCTAGGGGAAGATGTAGGAGTTTATTCAAAGATGAATGTAGCTTAAACAGGGCAGTCATGGAAGAAAAGGCTAGAATATGGTCAAATCATAATTTTCACCAGCAGACATTTTAGTCTATAGATCAAAGAGGCTGCTGCAGGCATAGCCAAGAGGACTTTTTGCTCACATCTCTTGGGGTCTAGAAGAAAAGTATGACAGAGAGATTAAACTGGATACATTACTTGGTTTGTAGCAGATGAAAGGGTAGGGCAGGGAGCAGTGTGCATCATGCCATTCTCCAGAATTATTAAAATTTGCAGTCATACACTCATGATCGCTAAGGGTTGGTTGACCAGATGCCCAGTATCGAAATAAAGAGGTGCTGCCATCAGACCAGAGTTTTTCTCGATAAAGGCCAATCCACAGAAAAGATTCATCTTCAAGTATTGAGATCCTGTCATTTTCACTCTGATTGCGAACACTGTAATAGTATTGAAAAGTACATTGACATGAAATATAAACAAAGAACAACACAACATAATCTAGATGTCTCTATGTTTCTCATCTCATTGTTAAGGGGTCTACTATCAGCTCTACATCAATTAGCTATAAGAGATATTTAAGTGGATAATAATACTGGACTCAATTACTGCAAGATTAACCTATCGCTAGTGATTGCAAACAAGCCAAAATCGTCCTATAATACCATCCTATAATCATGGTTCTTAGGTGTTGTGAATAATCCCGAATTTATTATTCAGGATTATTCAGCCTGCATGGCATTCTGAATAAACCAATATTCCTCTGTGTCGTTTGTCTGAGGGGTCATGTGCCCAAAGTCTAATTCAGATAATTTTTGCAAATGTGTCGTACTGCCATATATTTGAATAGGATAATCTGACCTTGGGGTGAATTTGACTGGAATTTAACTCATACAGCTATTTTCAACTGTCTGTGAATGACCTTTATACTGATGCAGAAGAAATCTAATAGTTTTGGAAACTCCCTCATTATCCTTCCAATGTTTACATTCACACTTTTTTGATAACTTTATATACTATGTGATGTCTATCTACCTTGAAACCTGAATGCTGCAGGGTGGCAAACTCAAATTTGTGAAAAGATTTTCATAAATATATAAATGTATTCACGTTTGAAATGTAAGTAATTTGTCTAGGAACCTGAAATGGCCCTCAGGCCACAGTTCAGTCAACCCTGATTTAGATTATATTAGTATTCAGTATCTGTACCTGGCAAGATCAAAATAATACTTCCGACAGAACTTCTGAGCTTCCATCCAGTTAAGTGAGATATCACTGACAACATAGGATGGTGAACCGCCAACAGTGCCTGGAAATATATGGAAAGAACTAAGACCAGCAAGACAAAACTCTTCTTAAAACAGGTTAAGAATGATGCCAAATTACTCTCAAGCATAGAGTTTGCTGGGGTTCTTTTTCTTACTTGCTAATCTGTACTTATATTAAGCATTTATTTAGTAATATCTACAAAAATAGGAAGTGTAACACAGCTTAACAGACAGAAATTAATATTTTTTTTTCAAGTTGTATTGTAAATCAAACATCAGCATTTTTCACTCAGCACTCACAGCACTCTTTGCAATAATGGAATGAAAAGAAATGTATTTTGGCAAATAGAGGTCGACTGAAAACAAAAAAACTCTTGACCTTAAAAAATTTTGAAAACCTTTTAAAAAAAGAGACGATTTTTTAAAGAAAAGAATGAACTGAAGTCTACTCTCCTTAAAACTTCTAAGAATATCAACATATTTATATCTTATGTCTTTGTACTGTAGGAAGAAATAAGATATTAATATATAAATAAAATTTCTTTTTCTTCATGCCTCCCGATAACATATAATTTTAAACAAATAACAATGGTTCAATTAATGTTACTTACCATTGTAGCACACAAATTTATTTTTTTCATCACAGTTGTTGTCATCCCATTTGCCTAAATAGGGACTCCCACTCAATAGTTTGACACAGTGCTGTTTTCCATTAAGATTATTGGGCTGGCCTGAGTTCCAGTTTCTAAAGTCAGTCTCTCCATCACCATAAAAGCTACTGTCATCTATGGACCATTTCCAGGAGTTTACCAAGTCATCATACAGACCTATCCACCCGAAACCTGTTTATACAAGAAACACCCATTAAAAAAAGAAAGAAAAAAAAGGCTTTCAAGGTTTTCAAGGCATGTGTGTTGTAAGATACCCACCAGTGTAGTTTGAAATGGTGCGATTAACAGCTTCAACGTCTGCTATACTTTCTATGGTGGCCAGGTCAGTGTAGTCCCGTCTGCAGACACTTTGAGCATCTGTCCAGTTCAGAGTTCTGTTCACAAAGTAGTATTGACGAGTTTGGGCAAACGCAGCATGGAGCACTGTTCCTGAAATGAAAGCTTTTAAGTTTTGTTGTCTTATGTTATACTAGAAGAGTTAGTTTCCGTAATTCATGTGCAGACATGTGTGGCATGCAGAGATCTGCTCAGCCCCTCTTCTCTGATCACACTTTAGCCTGTGTTTAGACTTATAAGAAGTCTTCCAGCTTTTCTGCTCTTCAACAACTCTTCCTGTGCACAGGCACCTTCTTTATTTTATCGCTGGTCCATTCTAACTAAGGTGCCAAAACTATATTGACCTTTGCCTTACAATTTAATCCAACACCAGCTTTTATGATGTAATCATTGCATTAATACATTGTAGTTGTTTCAATTTTGGAATTTTTTGGAATTAACCTGTTTGCAGTTGGAGTGGGGAGCTTTTGATCTGGACTGAGGAAGCAGGGACTGGGTGAGTGGGGTCAGACTTATTCAATACCATGGCCAAAGTAACCAAGGTGGTCAAAAAACTCCACAGTGGCAAGTCTTTGGGGGTAGATGAGATCCGCCCTGATTACCTCAGATCTTTAGATGTTGTGGTTCATGCACCTTATCACAATGCTCAAGGAGTAGCAGAATGGGTAGTTGGTCTCTTAAAAAAAAGGGGGGGCAAGGGTCTATTTCAGCTAAAGGGTGATCATACTTCTCAGTCCCCAGGAGGAGGCCTTTCAAAGGGTACTGGAGAGGAGAGTCTGGCTAAATGCTGAACCTCAGCTTCAGGAGGAGCAGTGCGGTTTTCATCACAGCCATAGTCACTAATTCAGCTCTACAGTAAACCCTCTGAGGGGTACTCAAAGGTTCATGGGAGTTTGCCCAACTTCAAGGCATCATACGGTGCTCCTCATGTTTCCCTTATGTTACCATGCCACCAGATGCTGCGCTGGTCTGTAGTGAAGAGAGAGCTGAGCCAAAAGACAAAGCTCTCCATTTACCAGTCAGTCCACATTTCTACCCTAACCAATTGTCATGAAAGCTGGGTTGTGACCAAAAGAACAAGATCGTATATACAAGCAGTCAAAATGGGTTCCCCTCACTGGGTGGCCAGGCGTTACACATGGAAAGGATGAAGAGCAAGACAATCTAGGAGAGGTTTGGAGTAAAGCCACTTTTCCTATACAATGATGGGAGTAGGCTGAGGTGGCGGGGACATCTGTTTTGGAACCCGAATGTATGTCTCCTCTGGGAGAAAGCTAAAGGGAAAGCCCAGGACACACTGGAGGTATTATGTCTCTCGGCTGGCCGTGGAATACGTAGGGTGTCTCCCAGAGGAGCTGGATGAAGATTCTGGGGATAGGGCAGTCTGATTGTTGCTGCTGTGACGCCATGAATGCTGCCCCCTCGACCCCATAGAAATATGAGATATTTTCTCTCAGTTTAAACTAAAAATTTTCCAGTAGTAACTTTAAAGTTAATGACATCATGGATCTTACATAACACCCTGCTTATCTGACAGCGCAACAGCTAAATCAAAACAGAATTTTCAAGTTGTTAGAAGATTGAAGAAAATGTAGAAAATGTAGACTAAGCTAAAAAAATAAATTAGAATTCACCCACCTGTAAAGACCAGGACAATCAGCCTGCAATCCATAACTCAAATCTCTGAAAAAGGGCATAATGATAGTTTTTTTTTTTTCATAAATTTGTCTAATTATAAAGTAATTACATTTCATCACATAGTTTGTAAAAGGTAAATATTGCAGGATGTACTCACCCTAGTTTCTCTTTAAGTACAGGAGCTTCTACTCAGTGCTGGGCATCTATCACATCTGATGATGTGCTACTCTGTGAGTCTTCAAGGCTTGCCAAAATGTTTGTAGTTCTTATAGATATTTTCCCCCATAAGGAAGCAAATAAGGAACCAGGAAGAAAATAAAAAAATATGTCTTTTGTGCCTACATTTAAAGAATGAGGATATCCTGAAACCAGTTCTGCTCCACCTTAAAGACAGTGCTTTTCTGCATTAAAACAAGTATCATTTGTCACGTGTTGAGATAAGGTGAACAGTAGTTCTATAAATATTGCAAAACTAGTCAATAAGACATTTTTATCTTGACCCGCCAAGTCTCTGTTAAAATCAACATTTCCCTACAATACTGTTTTTTCCTCCAATTATAGTTATTTGTGTAAATAACAGCTGTAGTCACTCAGAAAGTGGAGTTGTTGTGTTGTAGTCCAAGAGGTAAACTGACACCAGTGTGATGTAGGTTATGTAAAAGTTATGTAAAAGAGCCCGGTCAACTTAAAGCGCTTCACATCACTTTCCTATATAAATTCAAATATATGTATGGAATAGTAACACGGATACAATCTCATTCAGATAAATGTAATGCTGCTTAAATGAGCAGTTGTTGAGAAATAGGGTTAAAATCTCCATTAAAAAGATACTTTCAGACTATTATTATACAATTGTGTTGTGCTCCTTAATGATGTACAAAAGGGAAATACAACATGGAAACTAATTGCAAACAGTGGCTGTCAACACAGAAAGTGGAGTATGGACAGCAGCTTCAATAGATATATTTCAGTCAGTATCAGGTAGAGACAGAGTCAAAGAAGAAGAATGTCAGATTTCACCAAATAGCTAGGCAAACACTTAAAGGAATAGTACACCCAAAACATGATTAGCCTTCATTTTCTACTCACCCCCATGCTGAACAACACTCTGGAGTACTTTTTTGATATCTCAAATGCATCTGGAGATCTGGGAGGCTTCTTGCTGTCTGCTGACATTCAAATAATGGAAGTCTATGGCGCCCGAGGCAGAAAGGTCCATAAAAGTCCACAAAAAACGTGTCAATATTCCTCCATACTGCTCGTCCAATATATTCCAAGTGTCCTGTTTCCGCAGACTCGTGAAAGCGCTTTCAGGAAATCCTATACACTACTGTTTATGCTCTAAAAACATTCTAAATGACTTTGTTTCGAGTAAATTATGGACGCTACCCACTTAGGACACTTGGAATACATTGGACGAACAGTATGGAGGAATATTGACACGTTTTTTGTGGACTTTTATGGACCTTTATATATACAAGTTTTCAGTAGCAAGAAAATCCTAAATTCTGTACATCAGGAAAAACAGCACATCATAGTACCAGAGAAGAAATTGTAATATTTGAAGAGAAAACATATACATAAAAAAGATATTGAAATGAAAACTAAAAAACTAAAAAATGTAACTCGATTTGGAAAGCAATCTCTAGAATCATCCATGCTTACATAAAATATTTTCCTTCAAAGATCAGAGAAAATGATTCAGCTCTTTGCAAAACTTAAAAAATATATCTATTTAATCCATTTTAAATCTTGTGTAATCACAGTTTTATTATATATGAGTGTGTACAAAAAACCCCTATTTATGATTAAATATTTTGCAGACTAAGCTCCTATTGATGATGATGTCTAGCTCCATCCCTGGTGAAGACATAACTTAATCTCTTTTCCCTCATCTGCCCTATGATTGAACAATCTTCTGCCAAGTGCTCATCTCCCCTATACATGCCTTATTTAAGTGAAAAATAAGCGGTAGAGAAGTATCTCAAGGTAAACAGATGTGTAATGAGTTAGGCAGGATGAGGGTGGGGCAGGGGAGAAACGAAAACAAACATTGCTTCAGCACAGAGACAATCAGGCCAGACAGGGGAAGTTCAGTCAACAAGCCAGAATATTAACAGGGATCACCTGCTTAATCTACTTCCACAATAAAATGTTATTGTTGCTTAGTCCCACGAGAGTGTAATTTTCACAATGATCACCAGGAAGCGTTATCACAGATCTATCCTCCCAGCAGCTGTAAGACTTAATAACTATCACTGTTCCCAACAGCCTCAAGAGGTCGTTACATTCATGCTGATTTTGCACAGTTCCTGTCTTAGTCAGTTAAATAACATGCTGCTGTCATTTTTGCACACCTCTGGTGTTGCTGCTACTTTTCACAAATCCATTACTGTAAAAATGTCCACAGCTGTATACTGAGTATTTATTCTCCAGATGTACAGTATTTATATGGTAAAAACACTGTACAGTATAGTATTTCTTTATTTTTATTTTACTTTGTCACTTATTTTGTTATTTTTATACAGTTTTTTAAGGTCCAGGTTGTGTGACCACTTTTGCTATAATATTTTGCTTCTGTAAGGCCACAATTTCCAAATTCTATTCAATTCTATCCAATTCAGTTCTATTCTAATCTATTCTATTCTATTCTATTCTATTCTATTTTATTGTATTCTATTCACAGATTCTCTTGGACAGAGGGCTGTATTTTTAAACCTAAGTCTGAAAAGGCATAGGCAACTGCTTAAGGTGGAATTTGCAGAGAGGGCGCAGGGAGATGTTGTATGGTTTAATGATAATTCTATTTTTATCTGTGATGGAAAATTCTTGGAATCTAGCAAAGAAAAAATGCTGCAAATACCATCCTAAACCTATATCTCAAACAAATGTTCTAATATTTTAAAGAGGTCCATAAACTTAATTTTGATTTTTATGCATGAGGCAAATCAACACTATTTTCCCCCCAAAATCTGCTGTGCCCCACTGCCGTCCCTCTTCCATTGCCTCTTGTAACCCTTGTTCTCTCGCAGTACCACCATTGAGAGGCAAAAGCTGACAGGGTCGCAATGCTACAAAATAGAAGGGAGGATGAGAAGAAACATGAAAGGGCCATGGTAAAGATGTGAAGAATTTGTTTATAAAGGACTATTTTACAACATGTCATCTCAAGGCACTTTAACGAGACTAATTCAATTACACCATACAGACATATTGGTTAAAAGCTAATGATTTAGAGTATATTGTTTGAAAAGTTATTCCAGTGATTTGTCTTTCATCTGAAATTGCTGCCAGGAAGTTTCCTGTCTCAAACATTAACATAAAAAAACATAATTAATAAGAAAGGTAGTTTTAGATGCTTGCATGGTGGTGCAGATTTTAGTACTGTTGCCTTACAGCAAGAAGGTTCCAGGTTCAATTCCTGGCCTTGTCATGATGGGTTCACTGAAAGCGACCCAAGAATGCAGAACACCACTGACGGACACAAGGATGAAAGTTTAACAGTTTATTTATGCACAAGCACACAGGATATAATGGTTCAGGTTCAGGGCCTGGATTCTGGTTCACCGGAGTCTGCGTGAGAGACAGTTCAGTTAGCGTTGTCGACAGAGGTTTGATTCTCTGAAGTTTACTGATTATACCTTGAGGGTTCTTGAGGTTTACTTTGGGAGAGTCACTGTTGGTTCTGGAGAAGAGTTCATCAGCAGAGTCCGTTAGCTGCTTCAGCGTCTCACGTCTAATTAGAACAGACCTTGGCTTTGGGTTCCCCAGCTCTAGTCCAGAGCTGCTTGGAGGTTCTCTGTGAATCTTCAGGTTTGGCTCTGAGGGTCGGCTCGGCAGGTTAGCTCTTCCAGAGCTTTCACAGAGGAGGCACAGGTTTCCTGGAAAACAGACACAGGGGTTAGAATCCAAGCTGGATTCAAAAGTCATCGAATTACTCTGAGGATCTAGGCTTAAGCGCTGACCAACTGGAACAACACTGCGGCGTTGAGGCAAGGTCTGAAGACAGCTTAAGTAGTGGATCCTCTGATGATCTAGACGAGCTGCAGCTGTGCAGGAGGCTCCCTCAGAGGATCCACGGCGGACTCTGCTGGAGAAAGGTGGAATTTATCCAGCTCCCAAAAGGCCTGGGGTCTTTCCTAATGGCAATAGCATGTTCTAACTGTGCATGCATGGGTTCTCTCCAGGTACCCTATCTTCCTCTCACAGTCCAAAAAATGTTAGTTTAATTGGCTTCTTTAAATTCTCCTTAGCTCAAAAAAAGAAAAAAAAAAAACAGACATATGACAGCTGTGCAGGTGATGATGCCTAAGATGGTCAAACTGACTAGTGGCAGGAGACAGAAAATTCAGAAATCCAAAACTTTTCAAGGTTGTGGTCAGAAGTCCAAAGACCAATGAGGTATCCAGGGAGGGCAAGGCAAACAGGGAATCCTGTTTCCTCACTTGTAAATGCATGAGAAGAAGGTCATTGCTTCAGAGCAGGATCAGCCAGTCCAAATAGTAGGTTGCATGAAACTGACATTTTTTTTGTTAGGTGCAAAACAAAGCAAACCATGGCACCCCATCCTTAAGTTCTTCAAAACATTGTTTTCAAAGTTTGGAGTCCTGAATTAATAAGAGGATCATACATAAATAATAGCCATTGTTCATCCAAAAGATAATTATTGGTGTCACTTCTAATCTGTTGTAAAAATAAACGTCAGTGTGATGCATAATAGTTACTCTGTGAATTGTTAGTTAGCTATAGTTAGGAATAGGTTAGTATAATATGGGTAAGTATATTACCAAGCTTTCTTATCTTATACCAGTCTCTAATGTAAAAACATAGAAGTTGCAGGTCACTGGCCCGTGAGTTACAATTAGTGCTTGGTACAGTATCAGAAAAAAAATTAATCCTTGTAGAATAACACTCAAAGAGAAACACAAGGTGATGAACTAAGAACTAAATAAACATGTTGAAAAAAATTCCTTTCTTCCTTCCTTTAAAGGTTTGATTCATAGGTCATCGTTCAGTCTTTATTAGATCAACAGGTATAAACAGTTTTTTTTTAATTCATTGTTTTGTGTTAGTTTAAACAGTTAGTGCTTACCAGTACTACGTTGTCAGCACTTAAGTAACCTGGAAAAATGCCCAGAGATTTAGCTGACTTGACAATGCTGACTTCGCCACCATAGAGACAACAGCTGATGTTGCTGCTGTTAGCAAAACCAATCTATTCTATCAGGCAACAAGATTAAAATAAATTTACAGGAAATCCTGGTGGATTATTTCAGAGCACAGTAGCATAGTAGTAGTGTAATTTATGATATTATTGCATGAGTTCTCTGCCTATAGCCTCTTTTTTATGTAAGTGAACAAATACAAAAAAGTGTATTTGGTTATTATCATTCCTTATGTCAATTAAAAGACCAAAAAAGGTTCTTTTTTCCTGATTTGTTATTTAAAAAAAATCTAATTTGATCATGAAAACATTTGGTGGTATTCTTAAAAACGTATTCAAAGTTCAGCGTCTGTCCATTGATTTGACAAAGGTTCCAGTTAAATTCAAGGGAATATTAATATAAATATGATCTCTACCTATAGCTTTTAGATCATATGTTTTTATTAAAGTATTTTAATCTACTAGTGTTCCTTTGTTCTGTAAAATCTAAACTATAACAAACATCTAATATAATGATAAATGAAGAATACAGAAAAGTTATAAACAACAACAACAACAACAAAAAAACAGCTTAGATCCAAATAAGTACTGCAAAGGACCTTCTTTTAAAAAAATATTGACTATACATCAAAATATTGATGTTCTTTTTTGCTTTTATACATATCCATAGGTATACTTGCATCCAACTCATATGGGATGATTTACCCTATCAGAAGATTTCCAAACCTTTTCCAAGATGTCCAAAGGTATAATAATGTTAGGATATGTAAAAATGTGAATCCGAAAACAAACAAACAACAAAAACAATTTTTTAAATTGTCTTCCATGATAGAGACAGATAGAGAAATAGGGAGTACAAACTTACATTTATAATTCTTCAGTTCAGTTTAAAGTGAACATTCAATGGAGAGTCTGAACAAATCAGTTTTTAATCCTAATTTAAAGAAATTCAGGGTATCTGTTTTACATTTTTCCAGGAGTTTGTTGCTGATACTGTAAGTTTACAAATAATCACTTACCTTGATTTTAAATGTACTCCTCCGAGAATGCCTCAAATTCATTGGAGAGCCAGAAATACAAAAGACTTTTAAATTTTCTTCTTAAATATAATAAATATAATAAGAAACTGCATTGAGACTGATGAACTGTCCTCTTGTTACAGTGATGTTGGCAACGTGCATTTTGGATTCCAATATTATTGCTGTCAGGAATCCAGTTTGTGTGGTCTGTTTTTGTGTTTCCTTTCCTCCTCCACCAGGGGGTGCCCCATCCTCATTGGGTCTCCCTGCACGCCTGTGGAGTGTTCTTAAAGGAATACTACACCCAAAACATGATTAGCCTTCATTTTCTACTCACCCCCGTGCTGAACAACACTCTGGAGTACTTTTTTGATATCTCAAATGCATCTGGAGATCTGGGAGGCTTCTTGCTGTCTGCTGACATTCAAATAATGGAGGTCTATGGTGACCGAGACAGAAAGGTCCATAAAAGTCCACAAAAAACGTGTCCATATTCCTCCATACTGCTCGTCCAATGTATTCCAAGTGTCCTGAGTGGGTAGCATCCATAATTTACTCGAAACGAAGTCATTTAGAATGTTTTTAGAGTATAAACAGTAGTGTATAGGATTTCCTGAAAGCGCGCAAATGCACGCTCACGACGCTACGGAAGCCGGCAGACCAAACCAGCGCATTCAGCTCGGCAAAGAACTCATGCTCTTCCTCAACACTGAAGTCCTCAGACATTTTTCTTTCGTTGTTTCTTTCTTTGCACAGGTAAACAGCACATTTCTTCTTCTACGCTTGCATTATTGGCAGAGCAGACGCTGAATGCGCACTTTCATCTGGCTTGCAAATATATATATATTGATGGTATATATATATATATATATATATATATATATATATATATATATATATATATATATATATATATATATATATATATATATCTTTTGGCATATTTCTTACATTTTTGACATTGAAGTGTTATAACTTCATCAAAAACGTGCAAAGAAATGAACCTGAGGCAGAGAGGTTTTTGGTGTTAAGGTTCATATTTACTATTATTCCTTTTAGTTTAAATTGTTTTTCACTGTAGAATTGTTTTGTTTTACATTGGGATAAAATTTTTTAAGCATTAAAAAGTGTTCTGTTTTATTTTAGGTGAGTTATATTTAAACCTGTTGTACAAACCTATATTACTAATGCGGACCATAGTGGTGTTTGATTTTAAGACTCTAGTTACTGTATTGGGCTGGGCCTGTAGCAAATAACCCCTCATTCACATAGAATCCCTCTGTGCTCACTCTATTCTTTCACAAATAGCTTATCTAGTTTGTGTGGTAATTCCAACCAACTCTGCTGCAATGCAACATGACCCAAAGCTCTCCTCCATCCTCCATCAGATATAGTCACAGATGAGCCACACAGGAACTCAGACAGATGGATAGTATTGCGGATTCAATAAATTTTCAAAAGTTACGGGTCCAGTTCACATCAAGTGAGCACTGCTGCACAGCAAATTTAGCGCTGGATGATGTAGTGAAAATGTGTGAAGTGTGTGATGTGTTAAGCCATCTTAAGCCTGATAAATAAGAACTCTCATCACACCTGACCTGTAAAACCCAGATATGTTCCAGCCACCACAATCTAGATCTGCAGCAGATTCTTGTTGTGTAAAAGGATAAGGGTCCAGGCCTAATACTCTCCTATATGTGGCCAAGAGCCATGTACTGTAATCTCATTTTTCTGTCAGTAGAGTTTCACCGGTCCATTGCAAAGCTCAAAAATTGCCTAATTTCAATGTGGTTGGCATTTCAAATATTATAAAAAAAGAAAAAAAAATCATTACACTCTGTGGCTGTCTGAGTGTAATAGCATCCATTCAAATTTGCCTTTCCTATTCAAACGCCAGCCGAATGGCAACCCACTTCCCTGAAACTCCCTGCAAAATCCTCTCCAACTTCCAGCCACTGGTGTGACCCCCTCCTTTTCCTGAGCGTGCATATTTTTTTTTTTATCTGACTCCACACTTTCACTGAATTACAAGGGTCTGATCCGGAGATAATGCTTCTCTTTAGATCTTAATGTCCACAAATCATGAGAGAATATTTTAGTACAAAGTTTGATGTTTAAAAAGGAGTGGTAGGGGACCAGCCAAGGACCCACCAAGAGCCCATCAAAGAAAGTGGGGAAAATTTGAATGGCTAGTACTGTAATTGTTAGGCTTTTAAAAGCACATGCTGGTTGTTTCATTTAACGCAGCACTAGAGAGGAGTAAATCTTACACTGGAGCTTTAAGCCTCCAGTTCGATTTCATTAGGTCCTTTGTTTTGATTCATGTCTCCAAGCCTTTTATTTTTCTAAACAAGCCACCATTAGTTAAATAAATTAATAAATACACAATGCCGCTTTCTAGTTTCCATCTGCACTTTGGTCTGCAACACCAAAACATGACACTATTTTCGGAATTATTTGCTTACATATCCTTTCTAATCTATCTGTTGAATATTTGCTTTGCTGTTTTATTTGTCAACATTGTTTGTATATATGCTCTCTATCCTGTAGCCTTTATTGTGTTATTGTCTTAGAAAGTAAGCATATAAAGAGCATTGCACAGTCCACAATCTACGTCTTTGTTATGTACACATAACTAGCAAACACAGTTGAATCTGATATTGAATCAACTTTGAGCAACAAATGTTATAATCATAGACTAAATATGAAGGTAGAAGATTATAGTTTTAACAAAGAAACATCTTGTTAGACCCAAATAATGTATTTTATTGCACCACTATATGTTTTCTTTTACATTGTAAAGCTTTTAAGAAAAAAAATGAAAGAAAGCAAAACAGCAGTCCATTGGGTAGAGAGGCACTTTTAAAATACCTTAGAAGAGCCTCTGGTATTTAAACCCATTTACTTTATTATATATGTTTGCTTAAAGAATAGTTAAAGTTGCTACTGCTGGAAACGGGGGTTGATAAAAAAACTGGACCCTAAAGAGCAGTTGCAAGAACATACATGTAGAAGTAGACAGAAATAACTTTTGCTGTATATTGAAGTATATGAAGTCATATATATGACTTCATGGTTAGCATAAAAAATGTAAATTTTGTTATTCATAAGCAAAATATATTGCAGAAGCAAACAATGTCAAAAAATTAATTTATCACTGACATATTGACCTGAGGTACATTGTGTGTTGTGTGTACCATTAGTCAAATGTTAAAAACTTTGTTTCTCTTCTTTTCTAAGCATTTAAGTGTAGCTTGCCATATTTCTGTGTAAAAATAAAAGCCCAGCTCCAAGTAAAACAAACAAAAAAAGCCCCATGAACAGTTGTTAAAGTTAAAGAAAAAATATATTCATAAAACATTTTATATAGAAATGCATGAAAATACAATGAAACCTTTGATTCGGTCTTGGTTGGCAAAAAGAAAAGAAAAAGAGGAACAGGAATAATCAAACAGGTGAGTGTTAAATGACAAGATTTAAAATTAAAACTGTGTATAAAATCAAAGACATTTCTGAATTTATTTCAAAAGAGTAGCGATGTTGCTGATAACCTTTTCCACTACTGGGACTCTCCAATAATGTCATGGTTTTGAAGAAGTGATTTTCACGGAAAGCTGTGATGGCAAGTTATATGTTTTGAAAAGCTACATAGATTGAAAAACACATAATATACAGATGCATCAGTGATATGATAATGAAATGCAAACATTAGATAAATAAAAAATCAAATGTTAAATTAGTCTCACCTCTACCAAAGCATCTTCCATCTCCAATTCTGACATTTTTCTGGGAAGCTGTAGCCTCATCTTCATTGCCAAAACATAGTCTGTTGAATTAAAATTGAAATTTGCACAAAAAATAAAAAACTTGTAAAATTGTTATTTTTAAATAAAATCATAGAATTTGACTTAATTGGACGATCAGTATTGGAGTAATCATTTATTTATTTAAAACATCATTGTCCACAATGGTAAGTATTTCTATATAAAAATCTATAAATCTAAATAAAACAATCTGGAAAAAAAAGTAAAAAAAAAAAAGCTTTTTTAAGGAAGGAAAGAAAAGCAAGAAAAACAAATTATTAACCTACTTGGACCTGTTTGTTGGTTGATCAGGTTTTATGTTTTCAGCAAGTAGTTTTTTTGTTGACATGGAAAGAAAACAATAGTTCAATTAAGATAATTTTTTTCCCCTTTAAATCCCAACATGTAAATCAGTCCAAAAAAAAATCAATTAAACAACAACTTAAAGACTATGCTCAGCTCTATAATGATATTCAACCCACTGAGCAACATTTTAACTCTATAATAGGTATATCTGTTGAACATAAGGCTAAAGTTAAGTGCCTTACCGGTAGCTGCCACAAAGCTGACTCCACTGCTTCTGATGTTTTTAAAAACAGAGAACAGTGTGAATGTGTAGTATGTCCGAGCAGTGAGAAATGATACTGTGTGAGTTATTGGTCCATTTCCATCTGTTGCAGTGATATTTGTCTCTGTGCCATTAAACTGCAGAACAAAGCTGACATTGTTGTTAATTTTATTCCACTGCAGAGTTATACTGGTCTCATTTTGATTTGATGCTCTGACGCCATCCGCATTTTCAGGAGCTATGACAAATAAGAACATAAAAAGATTGAATAAAATCCCTGAGCCTAACTGTCTATAGTAGTCTTCTCTTTAGGCTTCACATTGAACACCTCACACATGTATTCATATCTCTTGCATTAAGATTGAAAGCAATCCTTAATTTGACCAACAGTATTTTCTGACGGAAAGTAATATTTAGAACCCAAAGCTTCAAGCTAGATTGAGTAGTGAATTTGTGGAGGAAGTTAATGAAGACGAAAATGGAAACAAGGTTATCCAACCTCAAATATCCAAAGTTCCATACTCAAAGAAAGTTTTTAGAACTGCAGTGGGAACATGTGTGGAGTCAGTAAAGGTTTGTTGTAACACTACAGAAGGGGTTTTCATAGATTTTTGAAGAGGGTGTTGAAAATTTAAATGAGCATTTCTTTTAATAATCCTTTAGTGATGCTTTTTTATCTTTTCAGATGTGCCTTTTTAGTTTACAAATAAAAAACAAGTATTGTTTAAATTAAATTAATTTGGAATCTGTCTATGGCAGGGGTATAAAAGACTTAAATATAAATCCTTAGTTCACTACTCTTGAACAAACTCAAACACAAAAAAGTTTTGATTAAAACATTAAAACTCAATGAATATCTTACCAGTAACAGCGGCTATGCTGACTCCACTGCTTCTGACGTTTTCAAAAACAGAGAAGAGAGTGAACAGGTATATAGTACCAGGAGTGAGAGATGAGACTGTCAGAGTAACTGGTCCATTTCCGGCTGGCGCTGCTACATTTATCTCGTTTCCATTATAATTGACAATGAAGCTGATGTTGTTTTTAACTGGATCCCAATGTAGAGTGATGCTGGTCTCATTCTGTCTCAATAATCTGAAACCTTCTGCATTTTCAGGAGCTGAAAGAAAACAGTTTCAACAAAGTTATCTTTTAAGTTGGCTGGATCTTGAGATCCATTTTTTTAAAGATAACAGTACTTTGTCTTTTTATATAATTGCAATTCAGTTACATTTATTCAGTGTACTATTTGTCCACAACACCTCTCACCATTTCACAATTATTCCTTTTTCTCTCTCAGGTCTCAGTCTCAGAAAGGCAGTAAGGGAAAATATTAAACCTGTTATAACTGCTTTTGAATACACATTTCTAATGATATCAATGGGTCTGCATGATGGCGCAGTTTCAGCAGGAAGATTCTGGGTTCGATTTCCGGCCCAGGGTCTTTCTGCATGGAGTCCAAATGTCCACCCTAACCCCTAGATTGCTCAATCACTATAGCGGGGACTATATAGTGGACTTTATAGTGACCTCAGTTAACTGACTGTTCTGACAGATTATCACAACTTTCCGCTCCCTATTGGTCACGTGACTCCATCTGCCCACACGATGCCTGCGCCCTCTTTATTATTGGTGACTACTGTTGGGGAGCAACACCGGGCCGCTTTGACAACAAATCCCTTGATTCCGAGATACAACTGCTCATCTAGTGACCATGGATGATCACTACTTTTCAAGTTTCATTGTAGGAAATTTCGAGTCCACTAAGTTTTCATCCAATAGACATTCGGACACTAATCTAAGATGGCTTAACCACTATAAAGTGCCCTATATTTGGTTTAAGGCAGACATTCGGACACAGCCTATATCTCTAAGAAGCTTGATGTAATGCTACATTCAGACTGTAAGCACTGGAAGCAGCAAAAAAGCTTCTGCTGCTTCATTTTTGATCCTTGTACACATTAAGGTCAGGTGAGCGTCATGAGCATCTTTGATGCTCCTGAAGCGTCTCCAGTAAAGTGTGTCCAGATGGGTCTGATGCTCTTGCTGCTCTTGTCGGAGCTGCTCAGACCCCTATACCCCGGCAGTGCTCTGTCATTGGGTCCCATTCAGCAGCAGCCCCTGGTCTGGTCGCTTATTCACGGCTTTAAGCGACTATTCACGGAGGCTGGAAGGCGTTTTTCACGTACATAATCCAGAATATTTAAAGCGCACATATTTTGCAGGCAGGTTTCAATATATTAAGTTAATTTAGGCATTAATAATCTGTTTCAGAGCAGTGTGATCATAGTTGTCTGCGTCAGCAGCACTGTGTCGGTCTCCCTGCCAACTCCCAGATCAGCTTCTCTGGATTACTGCAAGTTCTCCAGATAAGGAGAATACAAGTCAAAGATTCTGACTACGAAGATCATTTTATGTTTGGAATGCAGAAATTAATGTAAATCTATTGAATGTGAACTATTAGGAAGTTAAGTAAGGCTACGTTCACACTGCTGCCTGAAGTGACCCAATTCCGATTTTTTGGCCCATATGTGACCTGTATCTGATCTTTTTATGACAGTCTGAACGACACAGATCGGATTTTTTCAAATGCGACCCAGGCCACTTGGATATGTGGTCCTGAATCCGATACGTATCTGATCTTTTCAAATGCGACCTGTGTCTGTACGGCCAGGTCGCATTCATCCGACCTACACGTCATTGATACTTGACAAATGTTACTAAACGTTACTAATCTGCGTCCTACTAAGCGGAGGCGGGAAAAACTAACAACCATGGCGGAAGATAACACAGAGAGCAGTCAATGGAGAGAAAGTGAGGTTCCTGACTTAATTCATATTTGGAAAGATAGCTCGATTCAGACCAAACTCGAAGGGTCTTACCGGAAGCGGGGGAGGGTCTTTCTTTTTGATCTTCTTAAAAAGATTCCGTTCGTAATGTGCCTGCTCCTGTTGGAGAAGAACTTAAAGAACGCAATATACGCTGCGGTATTACGAGTCATGTTTACTTCCGCAAACACTGAGGACGCTTGCTACATGTGACGTCATCGCGTCCTCGAGTGCGCATGCGGGACACTTCGGTTGAACGCTTTCAGTTCACACAGTAGATCACATACAAGTCGCATATACTTGGAAGTGTGAACGGACACGCAAAAAAATCCGATTTCACGAAAAAATCGGAATTGAGCATTAAGGCCTGCAGTGTGAACGTAGCCTAAGAGAACTCACACATCACTAACTGTTAAATACTTCAAACTAGAATTATTTGAAGCTATAACAAAATTATGTTTCTTACCAGCAGCTGCTGCAATCCTGACTCCACTGCTCCTAATGTTATCAAAAACAGAGTAAAGAGTAAATAGGTATCTTGTCCCAGGTGTGAGAGATGGGACTGTCAGAGATAGTGATCTATTTTCAGCAGGTGCCACTACATTAAACACTGTTTCATTATATTGGAGAATGAAACTGATGTTGTAACCAACAAAATCCCACTGAAGAGTAACACTGCTTTCATTTTGACTTAATGATTTAAAGCCTTCTGCATTCCGAGGAGCTGAAAGACAACAACACAAACAAAGGTATCACTTCAAGCTGGACCTTGGTGGTGAAATTAATAATGTTTTAAAGGGATTCTTTTAAGACAGATCCTTTTTTTTCAAGGTTTCTAACAATGGACGAAATTTTGATTTGGGAAGTGGGGGAGACGCAAGTTTTTTTAAAATAAAACTAATTTCAGCGTGCTTGACCATCCAATCACAGACCCAATTCATTCGCGCATCAGATGTTTGTAAAGTCAGCTTCTTAGGAATAACAGCTGTGACAGCCAATTAGAGAAGAAAAGATGGTGGGGCAATCAGGAGCTTGTGGGCGATCTAAACTCAGGGAAGTGGGCTTCAGCTTGAGCTTCAGCTTGAGGTTTTCCGCTTGGTACTAGTGCTCGACCAATGTCTATGTACTGTAGCATAACATTGTTTTTGGACAGTAAAGGGGGACAAAAACAGACTTTTGAAAAAAGTGCAGGGGGACATGTTCTATAGAAAGTCAGTAAAGATCTCATTCAATTCATTATTACCAAAACAACTAAAACTTTATTACCGTTTGATCATTCACTAACATAATATGCTCATATTTTCGAATCCTGAGATCAAAGATCTTTGATTAAATAATGGCCGAATTTTTTGCACTCATTTGCTTTTCAACGATCCTAGAGAACCTACTGTACAGACATATATATATATATATATAAAAAATTCTTTAGAAATGAAAATAACTGATTTATTCTTTTCTTCATTATTTCACAGAAAAGGTTTTGCTTCAGTAAGTTGCGAAAGTTAATCTGTCTCAACTTTTAAACATGGTCAGAATATTTTCACAATTCGATGTGTTAAGAAAGAATAGCTTTGGTAATTATCATGAAAGAAAAAATATTGATTAGGTTTAAAAAAATATATGTAAAACTAACAAAATAAGATTTTTTTGCAGTTAGTTGAATAGAAAATAATATAGTTTATCTGTTGAATAAAAACCTTTCTAAGTTTCTTGTGCCATAATCATCACTCAAACTATTTCATCTTAGAACATTTCACTTTGTATTCTTAGCTGTAGAAGAAAATTTGAAGCTGCTTCTAGATTTTCTGCTACAGTACCTTTCAGTTTTATTTTTCAAATTTTGCTCAGTTTATTTTTTATGGCAACAGTTGACAACACATGTAGTTTCAACATACTGTATATAGTATGTAAATTTTTTATTTGATTTAATAACAGAGATGGACAATTCGATTACAAGTTATACAATTTTCTGTGGTCCCTCCTGAGTTCATCCAAATTTAATAAAGAATCTGTGGAGGAAGCATAGGATTGGGATGGTATCGAGGAATCTTGTTTCCTCAGAAACTCAACACCTAAGTTTTAGGTTTGAAAATAGGTGGATAAATGCAAAGACTATTTAAGTGATATATACATATTTTTTCCATAAAAATATTCAACATGTCTAAAATGTATATTTTTGTTAAACTGATGCTTATTATTATAGTAATTTGTCTATTTAAATATGACTTATATATTCTCAGAAAAAAATGGTTTAATGAAGGTAATTTGATTTAATAGTTTTTGTAATTCAATGTGATGACCCGGAGATTAAGTTATTAAAGATGATGATGTAATGTATGTAATGTAATTCTTCTTACCAGTTACAGCTAGGAGTTGCACTCCACTGCTTCTAATGCAGCAGTAAGAGATGAGGCTGTGTAAGTTACTGATCCATTTCCATCAGGTGCCCTTCACATTGCCACCTCCTCCCGCTCCCTTAGATCCTCCTCCTCCATCCACCTCACTGTACCCCCAGCTCGACTTGTCACCATGGGGAGCAGAGCCTTCAGTCGGTCTGCTCCCCAGCTCTGGAACTCACTTCCTCCCGACCTCCGCAGTATTGACTCTCTCCCCTTATTCAAAGCCAGACTCAAAACCCACCTGTTCCAGCTCGCTTATCTGTGAATACACTGCTCTTTTCCCTATCCATAATTGTTTTTTTGTTCTCTGTTTTTTTTTATGTTCCTGTATCTGTATTTTGTATTTTCATCTCTTTTTATTTATTTTTTTGTATTATTTGTAAAGTGACCTTGAGTGTCTAGAAAGGCGCTGTTAAATAAAATGTATTATTATTATTATTATATATACTTTTCCTTGCCATTAAACTGCAAAAGAAAGCTGATGTTGTTCTTAAATTTTTTCCACTGCAGAGTGATACTGGTCTCATCTTCTTTTAACTTTGACAACCCATCTGCATTTCGAGGAGCTGATATAAAAAAGGAGATGTTAACAAGCAGAACAGTTCAAATATTTACCATTGGGGTTTCTGGTGTGCCAATCAGTAGTCAATATCCTAAATGCAGCTCAAAGGTAAACAATGTTCAGGTTGTGCAAACAATAACTTAAAGCAATAGCCATTAGGTAGCTTCTCACCCTTTAATATTAAGTTTTTTTTTTTTTTATCCCCATCCCATTTCTTCACCATATAATCATTTCTGATCTGTTTCTAATTTAATGTGTTTTTCTTGGTAAAGTATATGTCCATTTGTGTCCAACATGAAAACATCATATTTTGTACTACCAAAATGGCAGATTTCTATACACTGTTTACATTCTGATCACTGCTGCACTTTAAAAATGGTAATGGTCATTTCACTGTTTTAAGCTGCTCATTCACTGTTTAAAGGTGTATGCATCTGAATTTGTTTTGTCACACTCTGTGTTTAAAAGAGGACAATAGAGTTTGTCTAAGTCTCTAAGCCTAAGTCTATTTTGTTCATGGGTTTCATATATTTTCCTTGAAATGGATGCAAACCGTGTATGTATCTTTACACCATACGTACATGTGGTATCTTAACTCTTATTTAGGCTACAGATACCTGCATTCCACCTGTGAGAGACCTACTGTTCACTTCAGGGGTTCCCAAACCTTTTCTTGCTTCTCTTGCCTCCCTGTTTAAAAGAAAATGTTCACACCCCCGACCCAATCAATGCAGCTTCTCTGCATATACTGTCAGGGTTGCAGTGGGGTTCCTGCCTTTCTCCAGCTGTCTTTGGGGGAAAGGTGGGGTACACCCTGAACAGGTCTCCACTTTCACAGGGCAACACAGAGACATACAACCATGCACACACACATTTAGCAAAACCAATTAACCTAACAGTCATGTCTTTGGGTGGTGGAGAGAAGCTGCAGTATCCAGAGAGAATCCATGCATGCACACGACCGCAGGCCGGGAATCAAACCCAGAACCTTCTTGCTGCATGGCAACAGTGCTACCCACTGCGACACCATTCAGCTCTCCCCCAAAGCCCTCCTCTTTGAATCTAACCACCACAAGCTTTTCAAAAGGTGAATGGAGAAATGTCAGATTCAGTAAATCTTATAATGCACTAACAAACTATTACAATCTCCTGCAAATTGCCATCTATAATGTGTAATTATTTCAATATTAAAATTGCTTACTATATAACAGAATTCAACCAATTCAAAGAAAGAATTAAAGAAAAACTACACTCAATATAATTATTGTCAATTAATTTCAATCAAAGTTTTCATGTAATAGATCAAGCATTCCCATTACGTCGATCATACGTTTCTGGGAGTTTACAAAGGTTGTGCTGCTTAATCGCTTTATAATAATAAAAAAAAAAGTATCATCTTAAATGTGGTTTATGTTTGCTGTTAGCAGATGCTGTCCAATTAATTCTGGCTGATTTTATTCATTGCAAAGTATTAAGCAAGTACAGAACAACAACAACAAATCCAAAGTTATCCTAATTATAATACATTAAAGCAATAAGGCAAGTCTTGCAAAACCTATATTTTTAAAAGGATGTAATTAAAAAATCATGTAAATAAATTATAACACAGCTGATAGTTTGTGTTGGTTAATAGTTCATTTTAAGTCTGGCGGTTAGGGTTCCAAATGAGGGAACAAAATTATCTTATTCTATTTAGTTTCATTATCAACCACTAAAAACTGAAATGTATTTGAAATATTTTTTGTGGGTTGTACAATATAATATAAAGTATTGCATAGAATACTTTTAGAATAGAATTTTTTTGGTCAATGGTTTTGATTTTGGAGAGTCAACCCACACTTTGCCTTTTATCTGAATACTCCAGAAATTATTATAAAGTGCTGAAAAATAACTGCTTGTTTTTGTTTTGAATGTATTGTTTTTAAATCTCAGTTGTTAAAAGCTATATATAATGGAGATAGAATTAAACAATCTTTTTAAACCAATTATGTTAATTTAAGTCACTTCAAACAAAATAAGGAATGAATGTGTAAAATATAATTTTACATATAAAGAATGCAATTGAACATGTTACCTGTGAACGCTGTTAGTTGTACAGGTATTCCACTGTCCCTCACATTCCCAAACACAGAGAAGAGAGTAAATACGTATTTAGTTCCAGCAGACAGAGATGAGACTGTGTGGTTCACTGGTCCACGGTATATATATATATATATATATATATATATATATATATATATATATACCGTAAATTCTCTAATATTGGCCTTTATTCCATTAGCGGCCGGGACTCTAACATTGGCCGGTCTCGCTGTCAGAGGAGGTAAATAATGGCCGGTCTCTCATACAGGCTGGGGTTATAAACGTTTTTTCTGGGCATACCTCAACATTATACTTGTGGTAGTAAGTAACATACAAGTACCACAGCCCTGCGTTGCTGGACGACAGGCCCTGACTGCTGCCCGTCTGCGCGAGGAAGAGAACAGACACGCAGCAGAACATGAGGAGGATGAAGAGGAACTGTACAATAATGAACTTGTTATAGAGACTGGCGCGAGTGATGAGGAGATTACAGGAGAGATGAAGAGGAGGAGAAAACTGAGGAGGAGGAAACTGAGGAGGATTAAACAGAATTGGAGGATTTTTTTTTTTTTTTACTTCAAACCAAGTGAGACAATTTGAGTGAGGGATGAGGTGTCTAAACCTGTAAGTTGCTTTTTGTTATAAAACAATAGCCTAATTATCACCATGTATGGTTAAGTGTTTACATTGCACTAGTAGCACTACTGGTATGTTCGCTACGTTTTTGTCACTGGAATTTATCCTGAATTACAAGTAGGCTATTTGTTGTTAAATTTCTGTATACCGTTATGGTAACTTTACTTTTTGAATAAATGAACCTAGGGTTTTATAGGTTCAAATAGACACAAAATCACATTTTTATTCATTCCACTGGTAGTCTGTTTTGCTCAAATAGCAATAGAGGCCTGTCTCTTATTCTGGCCTCTTTCCAATAAAGGCCTGGACCGCGATGCACTTGAGTGAAATAAAGGCCCGGGCCTATATTAGAGGATTTACGGTATATATATATATATATATATATATATATATATATATATATATATATATATATATATATATATATATAAATATATATATATATTTACTTGACTTATGTAAATTAAAATCAAATAACAATGATTAAATGTTGCAGTAACTACTAAACCAAGCAGATGTAGATAAACTCTATCAAAATAATCCATAATGATATTTTTTGTGGTGACTGTACCTGCACAGTATGCCAACCAGCATGTCGATGGCTGCTGAAGTTGGTAGACGTAGTATCCATTACACAGCTTGACCTGGATGGTGTGAGTTGCAAAATAGCAACAGGAACCCGCCCAGGCGTTACAAACAGTGCGATTGACGATTTCATTTAACTGAGTTGGTTGTGTCCCGTTGATCCACAAAGGAGCGTGGGTTCTTCTAAATGTTCTTCTAAACATTCATTTGGAATCTGAGAGCTGCTTTGCCCCAAATAAAAGCGATACCAACCACTCTAGAAAATGTCCTGATCACAGTGTAAGATTGTATTGTTTCTATTATCTCTAGAACGCCAGGTATCATTCAGTGTAATGTAGTTGACACAGGGGTCAAGACATTCAAAACTGCCATTGGTGGTGTTGCACTCTGTACCTGACGGACAACACTGACAGCCAGAACAAGATGGAGCTTGTTCTTCTTCAGTGGTAACATGTGGGGGAGGGGGAAAGAGCAAGGTGACATTAAATAAAAATTTTCAATCATGTCTACACTGCTCAAGGAAAGTGTTAAGGATGCATGCATTTTTAAAAGTCACCACAAGATCACAGAAATAAGACTGGAGAGCATCATCATAGTCACTAAAGGTCTTTACTTCAAAGATTCCATACAAGGAATCTGAAAATTGCATTTTCAGTTCTTTATTGTTAGTGAAATAAGTGGGCATGCTAACGATGATCTACAAAAATTGCTGAGCAGATGTTAAGATATGGAAGCCAATTTGGGTCTGCCCATTAAAATTAGCAGATGGCATCTTTTATTGGCAGCTTAAGAACAGCTGTAAAGAAAATAAAGTAAAGAAATTTGCATGGTTTGATCATATGATCTGCCTAATAATGAAGGCAAACCCACAAAAAAAGGTTCACACACTAAATTGCAAACACAGATCACGTCCACATATAATTAATGCTGTTTAGAAATAAAACAAAACTAAACATTAACAACCACCAGTGAGCAAAAAACCCTATAATGGCGCCAGCCTGAAGAGTGCATCCCTAATTTGGATCTTTTAATCCTCAATTCTCTTTACAGCTTTTGTATGAAGCACATGTGGGTCTTGTTAAATAATTACAGTCTTACCTTGTTACAAAATATTTTGGGCCAAGTAACTGTTGTAAGGCATTAGTGGAGGGGAAACCAACTCTTCAGAACTTTATCTTGGTATAGTGTGAACTAGGGTAGTGGCGGCCTATTGGTTAGGGCATAGAGCTTGGAATCCTGAGGTTCTGAGTTCGAGCCCCACTCCTACAGACTGGCACTCTGGCTCTCTGAGCAAAGACCCATAACCCTATACTGCTTCCTGGGCACCGCAAAATGGCAGCCCACTGCTCCCGGAAGGGGATGGGTTGAATGCAGAGGGTTCATTTTGTTGCTTTGTATTTGTAACAGTGTAATGACAATAAAAGCTAGGGGAAGCTAGACTGTGACTCCTTGTCTGTCTAAGAGGGTTTGGGGAGAGGAGCTGAAATTTTAAATCTGACTCTTGTTAGTTTCTTTTTTTTTTTCCTTTTTTGTAACACTTTAAGATACTCATGTTAAGTGCACTAGAGTGACCATTATTATCACTCTTATTATTTCTTAAATAATTATGATCCACATCAAAACTGACTTCATGGCTTCATGGAAGAACTTCATCTTCATTTTAGAGGCACTCTCAAATAGACAGTTTCACACACATTATCTGCTCATTTAAATGTTGCAAAGTAGCCCTGTCTGAATGTCGTATCCTTTGCACATGCAATCTTTATGGATCACCTCCAACATGCCCACTTAGCACATGCAATTTTATTTAATTTTTTATTGCCCAACCAATTGCCACTCCTAATCGACTCATTGAAGATCAGGTCCATAATATAGCATGTTTAGAGACAGCAGGTAGTCAGCAATGCTGTTACCCAAGAAGGGCTAAGAGTTTACCTACAGGAAATTAATACAGCATTATGTTGTGTATTATAATGGAATATTTAGGGCTGCTGAAACAGCAGAACTAAGATACATTACCTCTTCTGTAACAGACAAATGGCAAACTCAAGCTGCACTCTTCATCGAGCCATCTTCCAGTATCATTAAATGATCCAGCGGCACACTGATCACCAGAGGGATTATTTGGCTCTCTGTCAGCCCAGTGTCGAAACAGAGACAAGCTCCCATCTGACCACAGCTTTTCCCAATACAGACCAATCCACGCAGTGGTGCCATTCAGTAGTTGTTTGATGAGTTCATTTTCTGTTTGATTTCTTATGCTGGAGAATAGTAAAAAGTATATATAAGAAATAATATGAATCACATTATACAACTGCAAAATTTACTTTTGTATGCTCTTCTGTAGTAAATTTTAAATAAAGGTATTACACATTTAGGATCTATGTTAATGACCTTTCAAGGTTCTCCTGATATATCACTGATCTGCTGTAAGGGGATATTATCTTTTTTGTTTCAACAGAAAGAAAAATATTGAAAGAACAAGAACAAGTATTAAAATTCCAGTTATACTGATTTTCCCATATGGTTTATGTTTAAGAGGACCCTTAAAATTTTTTTATTAGAAGGGGTTTTAATAATATTTTCTAACTATGAAATTCAGACTGTAAGATTTATTTCTGCCCCCAGCCAATTACCCTCTGATGCTCCAGTGCTTCTAGCATATCAGCCCTGTGCATGCGTCTGCTATTGTTGTGTATTAATCTGCACTAATTATAAGATAAAATAAAGTTAATGTTTTATAAGTTTAAAGTTGTTTTCACAAATACTGTTATAAGAGCCATTCAAGGCCAAGAGGAGAAAAACAGAGCAATGGGTGTGTGTAACTGTTGCACCTGGCCCTAGAGGAGTGGAATCTGCAGGAAAACGCAGGGTTGAGTCCCCTTAGTGATAAGAAAGCACACTCATTAAAAATGAAATATTTGACATATAAAGGTTGCCCAGCTCAGCAAAATTTGGCCATACAACTTGTGATAAATAGAGTTGTTATTTTCAAGGCACACTGTGTAGTACTGGTCCAAGAAAGGGTGATGCTTTGACTGGGACACAAGGGGGAACACTAGGCCAGACTGACATGGCTTGAAGTAGGGAAAGGATTAGTTTCAACATGTTTGTGATTGAACTGTCATAAGTTTCTGATTTAAGTGCACCAGATGTCTTCATGGCCTGAGAGACTGCTCTCACAAGAATGTGATGTGTCTATGAATGTCATTGTGATTTGCATATAAAATGTTAATGTGACCTTTACCAAAGACTGTTGTTTAAATATATAAAAAATATGTTCTGAAGGGGGTTTTCCACTGATAAGAAATGTATAAAAGGGAGCTGTTTTCACCATTTGTTCAGCTGATGCTCACCGGTGACCAGCTCCGTGTGATTGTGTTGTGTTTTGCAATAAACACCCTGGACGTGGACTCAGCTGCCTCTGCCTGATTTTTGAATCTTTGTTTGAGACTTTTTCTGCTTTTTAAGAACTTTGAATTTTACAAAACTTAGCTTCAATTTTAAGTCGTCAAGAAGACAATAATAGACGACAAATTGGCGAGCCAGCCAGGAGGAAAGCAAAAAGGGGACGTCGGACGATCTGCAGGCACCAGCTGGAAGGCGTGGAACCCCAAGGGCCCATAATTCACCATTGAAGGTGAGTCAATTCGTTATAATGTTCTAAATTAGTGGGGAACCAGCCTCCGGCGACTGCTTGTGGGTGTCAGGCGTCACAAAGCTCTCCTAAAAAGAACCTAGTTTTCCAAATTTAATAAAGTAATTTCCAAATTTGATAAGAATTTATATAAGAAAATATAAAGGCAGATTAAGCTGAGGAAGGGTCCAGGTATGTATGAATGTATGTTTTAAGTGTTATTAATGTTTGTGTTAAACTGTTCTGTGTTTGAATTATTTTGTAAATAAGTTAAGCTTAACACGTGTTGTTCTGAGCGGATGATTGGTAAAGGGACAGATTGGTCAAAGCGTTTGACATAGTCTGTGGAAGCCATAAATCCGGAACCAATAGTGTGCGCGTGTTACGTGAGGGTATCGGTGACTAAGGTAGTCAGCGTGCTCCACGAGACGGCTTAAGTAGTATTAAGGTATTGGAATAAAGGTATTGAGAGGCTAAGCGATTGCCAGGCTAAGGGATAGCCAGAATATTACCGATTAAGCGATAATCGGAGAATAGTACCGCTCGACCATCCGGAGGACGTCTATGCATTTCCAGTTATCTGGGTGCAGCCGGGGCAGCAGGGAAAAACGTATATGCCACTGTAGGAAACAGTGAGGAAAAGGAAGAAGTGCACTGTAAATATATATAATCATTTTTCTTGTGTGTCTTTGTTAGTGTGTCGAGTGAAAGAGTTGAGTAACTGAGGGGAAGTAAGGGGTGGGTGATATTAATAAATAAAGATTATAATATTGATAAAGCTTAAAGATATAATAATAAATTATTAGAAGTAATTAGTACAGAATATAGTTAAAAAGAATAACCTGAAAATTAATAAGGATTGGAAAACAAAATTGATAACTGAAAAAAAAAAAACACAAGAGTTATGAGAATGAAATAAATTAACAAAATTCCTAAATAAGATTGGAAAAAATTGTAAGCTTTATAAGATAAAGATATTATAAGTATATATTATTACAAACTATAGTCTACATAAAGTAAAATATATAAGGTATAAAATTAGTGAAAGTGCAAAATAACATTACAAATTTGTTTTATTAAAGATTTTATCTCAAAATTGAAGAGATCTAAATTTAGGAAGTAAATTATCTAGAAAGAAACTAAAAGAAAAATAAACACGATCTGTATTGAAGAGAGCAGAACCAGTTAAGATAAAAATTAACTGAGGATTACAAAGACTGGTGAATAAGCACAGACCTGACGGTTGAGTGACTGCTAGTAGCCATGGGAACCAATATGAGCAAACAACAGTCTGACGGGCTGACGCCAGCCAAATTGGTTATAATGACACACCCATCCAATAAACGCAAAATTCAAAAATGCATGACCAAATGCCATAAGATGACATCTGGAAAAAATCGTTGGCCTAAACAAGGCAGCTTTGATCCTTCATGTTGTGATGAAGTTGAAGAAAGATTGAGAAATAAAGATAAAAAACGGGACCGAATGCTTTTGCATAAAAAACAGAGGCATGCTGAACAGAGAGACATCCTGCAATATTTCAAAGTAGAACACCAAAAGAGCCCAACAGCACCTGAGTACATTGATCATAAGCCACCACCTTATCACCCTAGCGCAGCAGGTCAGTACCCAGTTGTGATAAAGTCAGGTAGCAAGGGAAAGATTACAGGACAACTTAAATTACTTTTAGAAGAAGAAGAGGAAGAAACAGAAAAAGAAATGAGTAGCACACGGCAGGGAGAGTATGATTACAGCGGTGACTATGACGGATGGGATAAAACCCCAGAAGTAAGGAGAAAATCTACCCTTAGCCGTTCCCTACCCCCAGTACGTCGCAGACATTTACCATACCCAAGAGGCCCCACCTGCCGCTCAGAGCCTAGGACCAAGTCAATATACAAAGGCCACACAGATCCCAAGATAGAGTTATTTTTGGAAGAAACTGAATCACTGGCAAAAGAGATAAACCAGGACTTGGTGCAACTAACGGAAACATTTGTACGACTCAAGGAGCAAGAGTTGGAAGAGAAAGCACAAAATAGACGATTAAAAAATTTAAAAGAGACAATAGAAAAACAAAAAGAGAAGAAAAGACGAGATGAAGAATTGGAAAAATTGAAGAGAATGGAAGCGGAGCAGCTTATAATAGAGGCCAAAACTGATTACCCAGACCTGCCAAGCCCACGGACTTTGTCTCTGATCGAAGAGGCAGGAAGGAGAGGGGGAAAAGACATGGAATATGAGGAAGAGGGAGGTGATGTGTCCGAATGGGAGGACATTGAAGGCTCAGACATACTGCCAACTACAAACCCATTCCATGAGGGGTTCAAGGAGGAAAGCAGGCCAGTAGCAAAAGAAAGGAAGCCACTCACAGCTGAGTGTGACGTGGGGCTACAAATAGTAAAAAGCGGCCCTAGCCCAATGGTGACCAGGTCCAAAACGCGACAGCAGAAGACAGGACAAGATCAAGGAGGGACCTATATGGCTCCCTTGCTGTCTAAAGGACCTCATGAAGACAGATACGTGCCATGGTCATTTATGGACATGATAACACTGGCTGGAAGGCTGACCCCATTGGCAGATGGTGCTGACAGATGGATAGAAAAGCTGGAAGAAATCACTGGAGGCATCAATCTGGCAGCTGGAGACATCAAGGTGCTGCTAATTAAAACAGCAGGACACTCAGCAGCCAGAGAAGTGTTTGACGAAGCCCAGCTTCCAAGGGTCATGACCTCACACCAGTATGACAAGATACCATTCAACCAAATAAGACCCAAGGTGTGGGCAGCCTTAAGGAACAAATACCCCACCTGCAGTGATCCAACTAAGCTGAGACAAGAATGCCTAAAGGATGATGAAAGCCCCGCCCAGTTTCTGCACAGGTTCCAACAGAAATGGAAAACAGAGAATGGAAGTGATGGGAATGAACTGAAAACATCTGGCAAACGGGCCTTTGAGGACCAAAGCAAGATACTGGCCACCAAGTTAACTAGTGTTAATTTCGTTAACGAAAACTAAACGAAAATATTTTCGTTAACGCACATTTTTCACCCAACGAAAACTAGACGAGACGAGACGAAAATCCCCACTAATAAACAATAACTGGGAGTAAATCAGAAATATTTTTCGTTGACTAATAAAGACGAGACGAAAATGCAGTTTGGTAAATAAAGACTGGACTAAAATCTATGGACATTTTAGTTCACGAACAAAGACGAGACGAAAATTACATATTATTATTTTATGGTTTTTTCAAATCCTATCTCCTGCTCCGCCTCCTCCTTGTCAGCTCCCACACACCCACTTTCAAACCTGGAGCGGGCGGCACAGAGTAGCCTACTCTGGGGCTCGGGAGAAAGAGGAGACGTGATATATGGACACATTTTCACTTCATTGAAGTGGAGAACAAAACCAAATGCTTGATTTTAGTCGAAGGGAAGGAATGTGGCCACATGGTAGCTGGAAAAAACACAACCTGAAGAGACACGTCGCAGTTCAACACAAAGACATTACGGTAAGTTAACAGAAATATTGGTGGTGGTTGTTTATAATGTAACATTAATCAACAGCTATAATGTCCTAATGATAAACTAACTGATGTTGGCTAACTTTCATAGCATTTAG